GAGTCGGGCAAGCGCTGCACTGGGGTGTATCACGAAAATCATAAAAGCCCATCCCCACCGATCCCATATCACAAATAAATCCCTATTGAGACAGGGGCAAACATATGCTTTCCGATTGGCACAAGTGCCGGTACAAGTATGGAGACACCCGAATGAGCAGAACTAGTTTTACCTGATGCCGCCAAGGTGAACCATCACACCCCCTACCCTACCGTACCCTACTCGTACTAGTACCTACCGGTACTGTACTCGAGTACTGCCCCTTCCCCTGCCATACCGGTACCCCTCCTTTTTAACCTTTACCACTACCGGTGCCGTACCGTATTTTCTTTCCTTCTTCCTCCCCCTTTTACCCGGTTAGTCTCGTTCTCTCACCCGCAAAGCGACAAAGATCAGCTGTCGTTTGGGGCGTTCCAAGCACGTGGAATCGATGGTGATGCGAGCGCTAGCTAAAGCAGCTATCATACCGCTGCTCGAGTACCGTACTCGAGTACTGGAGCAGCCCAGAGAAAGACATTTTATTCCCGTAATCCATTAGGGCGGCTCGTGCTTATCGTTCGTACGACTAAGCAAAGAACATGATGTTCACCAGGCCGTCGGCAATCGTTACGCGTAACTCACCTTACTATACTCGCGCCTTATCATGTGTGGAAGATGCCGGCAGTCTACTGTTCAGTGCCGTACCGGTGGTAATCCCCTCCTCCACGATTGCTGCAACCTTGAAAATTTCTTGCCGCCCCCCATCACCATCATCCCTTTAGTAAGCAGGGCATTTATCGGTTGTGACACTTGAACTCTGCAGTCGTGCATACATACCACACCTCAACACGCGCCCGCCAAGTTATTATCATACGGTATACGCAGGAGGAGAACATATGAGAGTTACAAGCACGGTACCGTAAAAATCCTCACATTTCGCCATCTCCGTTCACTTGCTGATCCCGCGACTGCAGTAAGAGACAAAAATCCTCCTGAGAAGGATTAGTGCCCTCTGGACACAGTACTCGTACTGCCCGAGTACCAGTGCTCTGACTGTGTTAGATCCCATTAACTGGATTTCGCGATTCCGTTGACTTGCACGACTAATCCTATCATGGCCTGATGTCGTGACTTGCAGGGATATTCCGAGTCGATGCCTAGGGAGACAGCGAATTCTAAGGATTTTTGCGGTATGATACCGTACTCGTACGATCTTGGCGGCAAGAAGAATTGACCTCTACCGGGTTTCCATATAAAATGCCGATTTTAATCGGGTACCTATGCAGCGCCATTACCTCAGAAAAAGCCAGCCATCTTTTGGGCACTGCAATTTGACACCAAGATCCACATGATCTAATGTTGTGTTACAGAAACTGCTGTAAAAACTTCAAGCTCAAGGGGTTCTTAATGCCTACTAGTACCGCCCATGCGCTGCCAAGGCAAGCAATTTTTATGGGATTTCTGCATGGCAGCCATGCAGGTTGGGCTTGTTTCCCCACCCACTACCGGTGTTGAGTGGAGCAGAAAAAATGGTCAATTTTATATGTTGAATTCCTTGTGATTCCCTTCAATCTAATTTTTGTTTGAAGGAGGGCGCCTGTCCTGTTGTGCAGCTTTGCAGTGGTTGGTTAAACATGTGCATATTGTGTGGAAACCCTGGGGGGGGGGACCCATCTCTTTTGTCGCCAAGCTCGGAAAGAAGTTACGGTACTGTACTCAGGCACCCGGGGTCTTTGGCGATGAACAGGGGCGGCAAGAAATTTTCATGGCTTCAGCGGTCGAGGGAATGGCGTATGAGAATACGGTACACAGTACGAGTACAAGGCGGGTTAGGAATAGGATTTCACGTGTATTCGCACTCAAGATGGCCGGAGAAAGTCTCGCTCACTGTACTAGTACTGTACTTGTACGAGTACTCGTACATGGAGCAGATTTGCATGGGGGGGAGAGGGGAGAGGAAAGTGAGGTACCAGTATCACATGTAAGTACTGCACTCGCACCCATCGTACGATATATCCAGTGCGCTTTCCTAATCGATGGGAGATGGGTGACGGACGGATGGGGGCAAGTAAGAGAAGGGATTTGCGGCTAATTGCATAAGCGAGTGTCTAGCATGAGTCCGGGGTCTGGGGCGAGCCACACAGCACAGTCCTGTCTGAGCACTCGATCGAGCACTGTAGTCTTTTGAGTAAATGATATCTTTATTGCGAGGGTGCATAATACCATGATAACTTACCGCCAATCTTCGGTAGCTATATTCGGATAAGCAACGTATAATTGGAACGCTGAACATCGTGTGGTGGTGGTGGTGGGTGGGGGGGGGTGGGAATCTTCACCCCACCCTTCTCTTTTCCTTGCATTTTCCCAACCTCATTTCTTCTTTTCTTTTTACTTCCTTCCTTCCTTCTTTCTCTTACATACCGATATCCATCTGCTGCTGAGGGAATAGCGGCACTTTTTCCTCTATAGTTTCCAAGATTATGATACCGGCGGGCCCCCAACTGCGCCGGTACCGGTACTCGTACTCGAATACATGCGCTGCGGAGATGCAGGTAATACGAGCGCCACATGTGGAGTAAGTCGCTGGTAGTAACTGCTCTCGTCTGACCCCACCGTGTACTAGTACAGTACTAGTACAAGAGACTGTTTGTTTTCGCTCTCGGCACTTTCACCATGACATGTGTGTACTGTACTTATACCTGCACCGCACATTCCTAACGCTTCTGACCCTGCACCCGTTGAATCGTCCATCGAGTGATCGATACTGGGTCAGGGTGCCTGTACGGAGGTACAGCTCTTAAGTTTTGTATGTTCTACAAGCAAGGGGTGCTGGGCTAGCGAGGGTATTGGCGGGGAATTGGGCAATTTCCAGTGAAAATTTCCTAATCTGTGCTCAAGCTTTCCCAATTCACGTTAAGTACCCACCGCCAGCGGAACACCCTTGCTTGTGGAACATACAAAACTTAAGAGCTGTACCTCCGTACAGTACTGTACGAGCACAATACTAGCACTCCAGGCGGGGAAAAAGAAGATGTGGCAGAAAAACAGGGATCGTGGGTTTTGAGTGGGTACGAGGGGTGTGCGCAGGCTCTTTACCATATACCGATATTCTACCGCGGCCCCCGCTTTCGGGCGCTTCTTGCCCGCATCAGGCTCTCTTGCTGTGTGCGCGCTCCAAGCTCCGCTTCCACTATCTTTCGGGCCCCGCCTTTCGCCTCCCTATTTAAGAAGGTCAGAATGGGGTTCAACGACTACCAAAGGTCTCACGATCCTGACTGGCTTACCGAACATGGAACTATGGAAGAAGCGATAGGAAAAAGAGTTTTCTTATATCATTAGAGGATCTTCCATTTATGAAGGATATTAATTTGGTTCCATAAGATATCATACTAGCATACCCATATTTTACTGCCTTGAGGATGACAGAGGTTTATTAGCCTCAGGCTAAATCATCCTGGGACAGGAAATTCGAAAAGCACCAATTTATTTATTTATTACTTTTGTACTAGCATATCTGAAACAAGAGTCTTCAAGGTAATAGAAACTGGTCAGATTAATATGTCTCTTTACTGTTCTCCTCTTCCTCTTTATTACTCAAACTTGAAGTAAATATACTATAAATATTAAACAAGATTAAAATATTTTTCTACCTATTAATACTTTACTAGTTTCTAGACTATATATTCAAGTAAATATTACAAGTTATCCTAATAAAACAAGAACCTTACTTTTTAACTACTCATTTTCCTATCCTACTTCTTTCTAGATTAGTTCAATTCCTATACTCATTTGCCAGTGTTTTACCTATTTGATTTTCTCACTTGTTTTTATCAAGTTTATTAAACTGGTTATTGTTTCCTAGTTTAGATCTCTGCTATGTTAGACAAAATACTTCACTTTGCCTTCTGGCAAATATTACAATGTAGAATGATAACTTTTAGCTTTAATTAACAGTCTATAGGTAGGAAAGAAACCTTTGTACTAGTAAGAAAGTCTTGATCCCATTACTGTAATTTAAAAAGGAGGAAAAAAAGTAAAAAGACTGATAAAGGTCCTAACTGTTAAGATATTCACTATCATGAAAGTGGCTTCAAGTTTGAAAATATTAATTGAATAATTTTTTTATATTTACACTGAACATACTACAGAACTGTACTATAGCAATATTAAGGTATTAATACATACTACTCAAACTCTTACAGGCACCTCCTTTCATCATGATGTCTCTACAGTGTAAGCCAATATTTTATAAGATGAAGGTATATCTTAAACAAATACATGTAATTTTAGTACACTACTTGTAGTATAAATAGAACATAATAAACCCCTCATATAATAATTGCTGATACTATTGAGCAGCAAGTAAGGCTGAGAAAAATAAACATACTTTTACAGTACAACAAAATAATATTTACAAGGTATAATAATCAGAGTGGATAAGTTAGGTTAAACTATCAAAATACTGAGAACCGCAAAGTTACCTTGGGCTAGAAATTTACATTGAACCATAAAAGTAATGCAGTATGATACCGCAAAAGTGGTGTTGAGCCACAACCTTAGCACGAGTATGGTAACCTTGCTTCTCCCGCGAGCGGCCATCGATCAGGAAGGCTCGGGTACTGTACGCTTTCGGAGTGCCAGTACCTGTACTGGTACGGTCCTTAGGACAAACTGGTGGGGCATCAATTGTACAGTACCGTACTTATTGCATGTAGCGAGTACAAGTGGGGAGGCGGGCCGTGATGCTGGATACCACAAATTTCCTTCTTCGCCCCTTGATCTCTCTTTGATGCTTCTGGCCCACAAATCACGATTCGATTCCGCACTGGAGACTAACCCTTGCTGCCGGACCAGACCAACTGTAAGTCTACGACTGTGTCGGGGTTTTTCCTTTTTCCTTTTTTTTTTTTGCTGACTGAGAATCTCCCGGTAAGATTGTCCAACGCGCCACTGCTCCCGTTCCATCTGATGTGCCGTCTCTCGTTTACATTGCCGAAAGTTGCTACAAGTACTCTCTTGGGTTGTCTCCTTGCGGAAATCCCGGATCGGCCCATACTCGTATATACTGGTATAAGTACTAAACTATAGGCCTCCAGGATTAGTTTGGGAGTCCCCCGAACCCGAAGAGATCTCGAATACCGGTATTCAACTCCACTTCCGCTCTGACAGCTAGGTCCCTCGATAGCCGAGGGGAGCGCTGGGTGGTTTTACCCTGACGATTGGGTATTTTTTCTCTTCGCCCCAGAGAGATGCTGTACTGTACTAGTACAGTGTTGTCGGGGGGGTTTTTGTAGCGAGTCTTATTGATGGTGCAAGTGGGAAAACATATTTTCCCAAGCCGTTCCGGACATGGCGTGCTGAAACGACAACGGTCGTCTCAAAGGCGTCTTCCCGCCTACAAAGTACTTGCAGCATCGGTTGTGAACGAGGGACCCATAGCGAGTTGCGTGTTGCACTCGTACGTTTGCCAAACATGTCCCACATCCTTGACATTTTTTAAGGGCACCCGAGTACAATTGACAAAGGATCAAAAAGTCAGGGGGGAAGGCGGTCCGAGCCCTATATCCATGGGATCTGTCAGGTCCAGATTCAGCCCAAAGTGGATCGTAGGGTAGCGTTGGTATATTAGGAATAAAGGGGATCAAAGGGGGGGTGAGAAACCTCTGGAAGAGGGCAGTAGAGATATGTTGATCATTTTCTATCTGTAAGTACGAGCACGGCTGCTGCTGGAGCTAAACTTGGGATGGAAGGAGGGGGGGTTGCCAGGCCCACAATTGGTGATAAGTGCACAAGAGGCGGCTGGTCGCATACATAAAGGCGAGATGCGAGTGACCTCTCCAGGAACTTGCAGGAATTTGGTAATTATACTTGTATCATGCAAGCAAGGTGTGTTGAGGATTCACAGGAGCGTACCTATGGGAGCTCCGCAAATTTGCACGGATCGCCATTGGTGAAGGGAGAAACGAAAAAGCATACTCGAGTACTGGTAGCTGGAATTGTTCCTGATTTATGCTAGCGACACGTGGTAACCGGGGCAACCAGCTACGGTAGGGGATTGCCCATCGTCAACTGGGAGATCCATGACCAAGTTTCGTTTGGGCTCTGAGATTATTGTACGAGTAAGGTACGGGTGCATGTACTGTACGAGTACTCGAGCACAGTACTGTACAGTATCAATACCAGCCCTAGTTTTGATACGGGTATGCTGGCATTGTGCCAAGGATACCAGGCGACGTATCGGAGCAAGAGACGGATACCGGAACCACAGCAGAATGGGTGGTTGTGGGTTCCCCGGGATGGATATACTGTATTTCCGTGGGTCCGTTCTGTTTGGGACGAGTGGGAAAGCGGGAGAGGGGTGGAGGAGGAGGGGAGAGGAGAAGGTTTTCGAGCAGACGATCGAATACTCGACCACAGTATGAGAATGATTTGACCTACGGCATCCAGTCTCAGATGACGGCATTGTTGATCATCTGCTTCTCCCCCGTGTGCTCTACTTGTAACTCGTGACAGCTGTCCATTCTGTCAATCCGGGTGGGAGAATGGCGGCTGCAAAGTTTCGACCTGTGGGAAACATGGGAAAGTCTGGAAGGATTGGAAAGCCCACGCACAAAAAGCAAATTATAGTGGGAAGCGAGCGGAAATGGTGGCAGAGATGTCTCGAAGGGCTAGTAGGGATATTGCTTGGAGTGGGAGATTTAGTTTCTATCAAGTCCCTTGCCGGATGCTGGTGAAACGGGTCGATTGTGTGTGGATGCAGCAGGCCCTGTCCCGTCCAGCTGGATAGGGACCTGAATGGTCTACGGGTACTTGTACTAATTAGTACGAGTACAGTGCTCCTGTGGTGACCTGGTAGGTTTTCTTTTCTTTTTCTTTCTCCCTCACTTTCCTCTTTCCTTTTTCGCCTTTGGGGGCTGGCGATACCGGTATGGGCACGGTACAAGGTGCGAGTACAATTCGGAATGGGGGGCAACTTCGGGTAGGTTCAACTGCGGAAATGCGAGGAGAGCGAGATCAGTCTAGCGGCTGCTGGTAGCCGTAAAGAGTTTGGTCGCCCCAAGGGATCTCCGGACCTTCAGGACCCTTTTTGAGGGTCGAGTAAAAAGGCTGTGTGATACATGGGACGACAACAGCCACAACCACAACCACAACCACAACCACGGAAGCGTCATATTCGTACAATGATTTCTTGATTATCCTTCTCTACGCCCACCTCCCCACCAGTGGCCTACAACCACAACTTTCCCCAGTCAGCGAGTGGGCAGAGACATGCTTGGCAGCCGCTTGTACCTGTACTATACTCGAGTACACCTGCTGCACTGTCAATCCGATGTCGGGGGGGGGGGATTGGGAGGGTGAATGGGGGAAGAGGGAGGGAGAGAGGGGGGAGCGGAAAAAGAAGGGATACCGGTAGACAAGACCAGAGACAAACAAAGCAAATAATGGGAGGGGGGGGGGTGAGCCCAAAGGAAAAAGAAAAGAAAAAGAAAAGAAAAAGAAAAAGAAAAGACGGAATAATAAAATACATTATCTTCTAAGGAAAAACAAAAGAAATTCAAACTCGGATTGACGTACTGTACAGTACGGTACTCTTCACTACGAGTACTGTACTCGAGTACCGCATCCCACCACCACCTGCCGCCTCTCCTTCATCACCACCCCCTCCTCCTCCCCCAAGGGCTCTTTCCCCTTCTTTCCCCTTCTTCCCATTCGACGACCCTTGGTGACTTCATTTCCTTACAGGCTATCCTCATCCCAAAATCAATGACGAGATACCGGTAGCCTTCACGACGTGCCTTCAACCTCACTCCACTCGTTCATATACGCACACCATCTCGCAAACCTCACGTACTCGTACGCGCCGCTCCCTGTACAGGAGATCATTTATACGTGCACACCTTCCATACCTTCTCTGCCCTTCCTTCCTCCTTCACCTGCACCGTTGCCCACAACTCGCTCTTTCTGTCCGACGTCAACTGACCCCCTCCATACATCACTGATCCATCCATTCCACCCCGACTCCCATTAACCCTAGGAGGTGCATCCGGTGCTACCAATTCGAGACGGATAGGTTACTACGGTCCGCCCCAAAGCAAGAAGGAAAAAGAAAAGCAAACTTTGGGAGACTGGTAAATCCTCGATAGCCTCCCACTGTACGAGTAATACTTTGTTCCCCTTTCCTTTCCATCCGGGGAGAGGGAATCTGCATCTGCACCTAAACCCTGTCTAGGGAGGTATTGTCACCCTTGCCGCTGGCCTTGGGTTCGGTCCCATATTTTTTTGTCGTTTAGGGTTGTTCTTTCGGACGGTAGTGGAAGCACGGCAGCAGCCACCAGCGTGAGCAACCATCCCACACATACATTACAAGCACTAGTACTACCGGCACTCCTAGTTGGGCCTTTTTTGGATTTGCGCTCCACCAGTTGGATCGCACTTGCCCATCGTCAAAACCTGAGCCTTTCCAGATTCCGACAGGCGGTCAGGTCGCTTCCATCTCCTCCCCACCGCACCGTTCCTACCACTACTACCACCGCCGACACATCATCCCCCCCCCCTTTCTACCGCCCACTCCGTTTCGTCCCCCTTTTCCCAGGGTTTTAATACTTTTCACCTTGCTCCCCCAAAACGGGCACACCCACGCAGGTTTATTTTTCCCAAGTTAACCGCCCTTCATATCCATACAAGAGGCCCGCCCGCTCATGACGAGCTTCCGTTCATCGAACGGTAAGGAAGATAGTCCTCAGTGGTATCGTCTCGGCTTGCTTGGTCGGCGCGGTAAGCACCGCTCTCCCGCAGAGTCTTGTGTATCTGGAGGTCCAACAACTTCAGTTCTCGGCGACCCGCCAAATCGTCAGCGACGTTTTGGATTAAGACGTCTAGCTAGTGATTCTTACCTTGGTGATCGCTTTTCTGCCAATTCTAACGCGCGCTCATTTGCACCTTCAGTTGTGTCTACGAATCGTGCACCCTCTATCGCATCCGAATCGCAGGCGACCACTCGCCCGGGAACCGGCTCGATGGCTGGTATGTTGGATATGGACCGCTCGCGCCACCGCCGCGATCGAACCTTTATCGGCAGTCATTGTGCCGTTTGCGACGAACCTTTAGAACACACTCTCCGCGGGGAGCGTGTGCTCCAGTTCTCTTGCACTCATGTGTCTCATGAGGCTTGCTTCTATGAGTACATCAAAGAGGTTGATACTCAATTTTGCCCAGAGTGCAATGCCCCTTTGGGGCTTGATTCTAGTCGTGGTGGAAATGTATTGGATATTGGTATGTTACCACCGCTGCCCCACGGATGATGTTTTTGGGGTGCTGATTCTTCTTAGAAAAACTGAGCAGTATTGTAAGATCTGTGTCTGTTGCTGAAACTGGGGGAGCGCCTAAAGACCGGGGCCGTGAACGCGAGCGGGAACGGGAACTGGAGCGTGAGAGGGATAGAGATCGGCTCAGGGAAAAGGAGCGGGAGAGAGAATTGGCCTCGCCGCAGTACGAGAATTATAGTACCAGGACACGGAGTCGACAGGGAAGCCGCACCTCCAGTTTGAATAGGGAGAGTCGAGCGGAGAGCCGCAGTGGTATGGGGGATTCCGCGGGTCCACGACACGAGAACGGGCACTGGAGGAATAATAGCGGTACGTCAGCTGGTGAATTTCCCGACCCAGCGCTTGCACCGCTTGCTGTTCGTCGTCACGACTACGATGTCCAAAGTCTGGAAAGCGAGCTCGCCTCGAGGAATCCCATGGCGAGTCCCATACCGCCCCCCAGTGTTATTGTTAAGAGTGAATTCCCGACCATTACACGATCAAAGGCCCAGCAAAGCCTTACATGTCTGGTGACCGTGGAGGTTCCCGATAGGAAAATGCAGCCTCTATATCCAGAGGACTCGGTACCGCCCGTGCCATCACTGCCTCCAACATATGAACAATCGTATCATCCTCCTAGCCCGACAAATCGGAGCCAGTATTCCTTTGAGCGGGAGGGAGCGGGAACAAGGCAGAGGGAGCGTGATGTGGAGAAGGAACGGGAGAATGAAGTTTTGGCGGCCATCACAGACGATCTTCGTTTGAGGGTTGAAAATTGGCATGGCCTTGATTTCGGAAGGTAAGGTCTTATATTTATATACCGGCACTTATCGGTCACTGATGGGGATAGATTCGGCAAACTCCGTCTCCACGGAACCATCAAGGTTGGCAAGGACTGTCAAGCATGGCAGGAATTGGAGTGCTACCTTTTCTCGGAGATGCTTATCTGTGTGAAGGACAAGAAGAGTTCTGCATCAGCCTCCCAATGGGCCAATGGCGTTAACAAAAAGCGGAGTGTGAAGTGCACGTTGAAAGGGTCTATTCTCATAAAGAAGCATTTAAAGAAGGTTAGCGATTCGAGCTCACCGGGTAAGTTTTGTTTCTCCCATCTCGCCCGTGCAAGTCTAAACGGTGTATCTAGACGAAAATATGCACATCCTCACTCTGAGTCTTTCTGTCGCTGAACTGCCCCAATTTCATCTATTGTTTCCCACCAGTGTTCAGATGGGTCAGTGGCATCGTGCCTTGTTGGACTTGAATGCTGTAGAGCTTGCATCGACAATGAAAAGTCCTCAGTATGAGGACAAGCGGGGTTCCAATTCTGATGAAGATGACGACTTTCGCGCCACAAAAACCACCAGGCGAGTATCCTCTGTCAACTCGGCCTATAGTGGGACACATGGCGGAGGAAGGTCTGTCGTCACGGCACCTACTGAGTATACTGGGTCTATCAGAGGAGCAAAGCCGCAGATACCCCCAGCTATCCACATTCCTCTCGATATTGTTGTCGTCATCCCGGTCTCATCATCCATGCAGGGTCTCAAGATCAACCTGATCCGCGACTCACTCAAGTTTCTTATTCACAATCTTGGAGAACGGGATAGAATGGGGCTGGTGACGTTTGGATCGAGCAGTGGGGGGGTTGCGTTGACATCACTATTGGCAAAGAGCTGGAGTGGTTGGGCCAAAGTTGTAAACTCTATTCGGCCTGTGGGCCAAAAGAGCTTGCGCACTGATGTGGTTGACGGAGCCAATGTTGCAATGGACTTGCTGATGCAGCGGAAATCAAACAACCCTATTGCGTCCATTCTTTTGATTAGCGATTCCTCAACATCTGATACTGAGAACGTGGATTTCGTGGTGTCTAGGGCGGAAGCGGCAAAGTGGGTGATCTGAATTTCGGACCTTTAGTGCTGGCTGTGCTAATGCGCTCATAGAATCACCATTCATTCATTCGGGCTCGGGCTCACGCATAAACCGGATACCATGATCGAACTTTCAACCCGGACTAAGGGTCAATTCACTTATGTCAAAGATTGGATGATGTTGCGCGAATGTGTGGCAGGATGCATTGGCGCTCTGCAGACACTTTCCCACCAGAACGCCAAGCTCAGACTGAAACTCCCGGAAGGATCGCCCGCGAGGTTTGTCAAGATCAGTGGAGCCTTGCATGTGTCAAAGAGATCGTCTGGGAGGGAAGCGGAAGCTGCTCTTGGAGATCTTCACTTTGGTGATAAGAAAGGTATGTTTTTTGGTGTTTTGATAGGAGGGGAGGAAGCCAGGGCTGATTGGTTTAGATGTTTTGGTTCAATTGGTCATCTCCCCGGATAGTTCGCAGGGAGAAATGGCCCCTCAAGATGCATGGGAATCGATTGTGTCTGGATTGGAGGCATTGGGTGGCTCAGCCGATCAGGATGAATCAAGGACAATCAGTATCGAGGAGGTGCCACTCATCCAGGCGGATTTAACATACGGCGACGTTCAACGGGAGGGAACGCTTTCGCAATTATCCCGGCCGCATTTGCTCGCCATTACGATGCTTCCAGCCAGTCCGCGGAAGAGTAGCAGGCCAGGATCGCCGCCGATCCCCCCTCACCCGATGGTGGTGCAACGACGTATGGAGCTATTGACCTCAGATATGTTGAGTCGTGCTTTGACACTTATATCTCGGGGTCAGCACGATCGTGCGCACACCTTACTTACCGAGACCCGAACAATCCTGAAGGGGCTTGGCAAAGGGGGTTTACCGCCTCTTCCCTCACCTTCCCCGTCCATCCCTCTGCCGGAAATCCCTGAGGGAGGCTCGGGCGGACATACACCGACAGCGACCCCACCACTGGAGACAAACTTTACGCCTGCATCAGCAATTGATGCTGCGACTGTGTCAGCCTTAGATGCGGAGCTAGAATCGGCACTTGAATGGATCAGCCATCCGGCAGTTTTCACTAGAGACTCCCGAAAAGCTGTTCTCCAAGCCATTGGTGTTATTTCGTCACAGAGGTCCATCACTTTTAGGTAATTCGTGCCGGCTCCCATCAAAGAATTGGTCATGGCTAAAAATCCTGATAACAGAACTGCCTGTGAGTCGCTCTACGCTGAGAGAGTAGCCGGTGTCAAGCGGCTTTCTATCCAGGCACGGGAGTGGCGGGATGCGGAAGACTCCCTCATGGAAGAGGATTAGATTATATCGAATTCTTACTAAACTTTCCTAATTTTGCTCATTGGTCGTTGTATGAATCACTAGGAGTCAACTTTACGGTGCTTTGGTGGGCTGTCTTTTCCTTCTCCTTTTCCTTCCTTTTCCTTTTCCTTCTCATGTATTATTTGGGTGAGGTGTTATTCGGGTGGGTTAAATATTTCGGACAGTTTCTTATAGCCCCTGTAACAGGCAGCCGTCATGTTATTTTTTTATTATTTTTTATTTACCATTTTTCCGTTTTCATTTCCTATAAGAGTTATTTAGGATGGGATACAAACTTGCTACTCGTACGGTAGTGGTGGTGTCGTTGGGTATTACGTGCTCGAGTACGATATACTATTTCTTTGTTTATCTTTGTGGCGATTATTTCTATTGTCATTCCTCCTGTAGAATAATTATACCCACTTTGTTCGACTTACTAGCCGCTCGGGGCGCTTGGTGCAAGAAACTGGTCACCCGTTGGTCTAAAAACCTACAAGTTTGGTACGATCCACTGGCACTATTCCGGGGTGGAAAACCGTGCCGGTGGTTGCGATGGTGGGTGATCTATTTTCTAGCTTTGGTGTGCAACGACAAGGCACCGGTAAGTGGGGTCCCAAGACCGAGCATAGCACCGTGCCTTTAGTAAAGTGCGGTATGTCACTATGGATGAATTGTGGATGGCGGGGGGTGTTGAGGCGGTGCGAGTTAATGTCTCCCATAAAGAAGCCCTGCATTATAGGTATCATACCTGAGTACACCGTAGACTACATTACTATTCTTGTTGATGAGAACAGCCCCACTGCTACGGTAAGGGGTAGTCTACTCGACTCTACTGGGCAGTCTAAGCATTGGGCTTGATATAGCATTCCGCTTTTGGTTAGCAGGGTTTTTTTGTTAATCACCCCTGTAGGCATAGCTTAGGTTATCATACTGGACAACGGAGACTACCAAGCAACTCCCGACTTAGCTCAAGTCTGTCATACTGAGCTCACAAGTTTTACGGGAGGAAATAAAAATACGGTAAATCCTCGGACCACAGATCCATCGGAAATACAAACCAAACCAAACCGAGCCAAGCAATCCGTGTCGAGCGATATACATACCTCACCATGTTTGCTCGAGGCCTCACGGCTACGAGGCCCTTCCTCCGCACGTTCCCGAGATCCATGGGTGCGACTGCATCAAAACTCCGACCGGTCGTGCCCGGTGGCGGTGGTTTGAAGCAGCAGCAGCAGCAGCAGCAGCAAAGAGCGGTGTTTATGCGCCGACCGCCTACTTATCAATATCAGAAGTTTCGGAGCAGGGAGCAGTTGGTCCGGCACTTGTGGGGGGATCCGAACTTTAGGTGTGTTTCTTGCTCTCTTCTCTCATCACTAACGATGGCTTAATTGACCAATTGCCCCCGGTAACGTAGGAGGTTCGTGGGAGTGGTCATTCTTGGAGGGGGGGTCTTCTATGTGTATAATCTCGAGACGGTACCCGTTTCCGGGAGACGGAGGTTTAATATCTTCAGCGCGGAGATGGAGGCTCAGATAGCGCAGCAGGCGTAATACCTCACTGGGAGCAGAAACCCGTTTGCCCCAAATATCCCGTTTGGAATGGGCAATGGGGGGGAAGCGAAAGTCCTTTCTAACTTTATGGAATGCGAATAGGTATGCCGAGGTGAAGGAGAACTACCGGGGGCAGATACTGTCCTCCTATCACCCTACGACGAGATATGTCAAGAGGGTTATGGATCGGTAGGATAGCTTGCATTTTCTGCCCCCCACTCGTCGCGCTCCCTACCTTCCTTCTGGGGATATGAGGGCGCGTAGGGCGAATATGTGGCTTTTTTCCCCCTTTTTTCGGTCGATTGATCACCGGCTAGACTAATTGTGAGCACAGGCTGGTGCCGGTGTCTGGACTTGGGGACCTAAAATGGGAGGTTTTTGTTATAAAAGACGATTCCATCAAGAACGCTTTTGTTATTCCGGGGTTAGTGAGGCAGATTCGGCTCCCGAAATTATGATTTTGATGTTTCTTCCCCTCCCTTCTTCTTTTACTGATAGACAGTACGAGTAGTGGCAAAGTCTTTGTATTCAGGTATGTACCGTACGTAACCGACAATTGGGGGCCCACCTATGGCTCATAGGTTGAAAAGTGGGGGAGGCGGAAGTGGGGCTGGGAGGGGCTTGAAGGAGGGCCCCAAGAAAACACATCACTCAGCGGATGCTAACCCGATGTGAGTGGGATACTGGGTATCTGTGGAGATGAAGATGGTCTGGCAGCTGTTATGTCGCACGAGATTTCTCATACCGTTGCTCACCATGCATCTGAGACCATGAGCAAATCATTTCTTGCAATAGCCGGTTTGCTTCTTCTCTCAGTTGTGAGCGGCACGAACACCAGTTTTCTTGGGGATATCATGGATCTGGCTTTCCTTCGACCTGGTTCGAGGAGACAAGAGGTACGGCGCTCGCAAATTGCTTTCTTCTTTACGGATCTTCATATCGTATTCCCTAAAGTCATCCCTATTCCCTTATTTTTTCCTCGCATGATGTGATGGTGCTGCTTGTTTCTGACCCTCTGATCCCCCGGGTAGGCTGAGGTATGTCACTCTGGAGCAGTTTGATCTGTGCAAACGCCATAAACCCTCTCGTCTCGAAGCGGGAGCTTGAATAAGGCTATTTACTTACCTTTTTTTTTCTGGCTTGGATTTTCCCTTTGTAGGCTGACTATATCGGATTGATGATGATGGCTGAAGCATGTGTGAGCTACTCCCGATCCCGACCTTACTGCATAAAATTGGTCGGAATCGTATTTGCTTTTTTTTTTGTTGGAAAGAGCCGACTAATCGTCCAATTATTATAGTATGATCCGTCGGGGGCGGTTGGACTGTGGGAGAGGATGGAGAAAGCACAAGAATTCGAAGCGCCACAGTTTCTATCTACTCATCCTGCTGTACTACTGCCCTTTCCCCCACCCTCTCTCGGTAGATCATATGTGGAGGGGTTGGCCCGGCTGACATTGTCGGTACACAGCACAAAACTAGGATTCGTAATATCAAAGGATGGTGAGCGGCTCCATGCTGGGTATATCAGATGTGATATCAAATGTACTCATATCATACGATAAACAGGCTACCAGAGGCTTTGCAAAAGTTGGAAAATAGCGAATGCGCTGGAATGACCATGGACTATGCTTTGGAATTCCGAAAGGCGTTCGGTTATCCAAATTGGTAGCCCTGCATCATGGAAGGATTGTTCCATGTTGGGGGGGAGGGGGGATTAGAAACAAATATCAATCTTGTCGCCGCTCTATCTTGCCTCGTCGATACTGTATCTTGCATCACACTTTCTGTTGGTGGGATCCCGTGCGTACAGTGATTCATAATTGCTCACTCGGAGTTTGTATCCGTAGAGGGAGTATCGATAGATATTGGCTGTCTGCCAATAGCACCAATGTCCCGACCCCAGTTTTGTGGCACGGCCTATGGGGGGATTTTGGGAGAAGAGCCCGTTTTCTCTGATTGTCGGGCTCTTATAGCTATATTGTCCGGCGGCACATAAGCTTCGTAGTGACCGGTTTTCTGTTTTCCGTTCTCTCTCCCGATCGCCAACAGAGATTCCTGGATAAGGGCCAGGCAGCCACAAAGTGTTTGCTCAAGACACATATTCCCTTCTCAGACTGCGGAACCCCCCACAGCCCCGCCGAGATTTACCCAATGCCATGGTTAGGTTTCCTCCTTCTAGCAATCCTCCTGCCCCTCTCCTATTGTTCCCCCGGGCCCGTTTCCGGTGGAGGCTACTGTATGGGTGATGGGAAAACTGACCCCGAGCTCGAAGAATTTCTAGGCTCTGACATCCCCATCATCCGCCGCACCATCCCGCCCCTTTCGATTACGATGGGGACTCCGACGACGAATCCGGCCTGCCCCCCGCTCCCGGTCCGGCCGACGGCTCGTTGCCCCGACGAACATAACCCGGGACCAACCCCTCATGGAGCTCGAGGATATCTGCCCCCTAACCCCGAAAGCCTCTGCACGCCTGCGAGGTGACCTGGAGCGACACTTTCAGAGAAACGAGCGAACCCTCGAAGCCCGCACCTTCCCCCTGCCGAAGGAACCCGGCCCCCCCGGGCACTATAGCCGACCTGATCTCGGGATTGTGCACGGACGTGACAATAATTTGGGGAACCTTGACTGCACCGCCATGGGCCAGGGCGTGCTGCCCTACCCCACTAACATTAGGGGCATCTTCTGGGGCGGGTTCGCGCCCGGAGCCCGGAGCATGGTGGCGATGGCGATGCTCGCCGTCGAGCAGTGCCCACAGTCCAAGATTGTGCCATGGGAAGAGAACGGTCCTTACCGTGCCGCACAGGTCCCTTTATTACGATCAGTTGGGGGTCGCATGCGATTTTGTGGGGTCGAGGATGGTGGAGAGGGGTGCTCCTGCGAAGGTGCGTTTGGTCTGGGATGGGGTCGAGGCGGAGGGGAGGAGAGCGATAGTGATGGGCATTATTTATAGGGATATGTTTCCCGAATGACTGATTCTTTTGCCCTTGGTTGGAGGGGAAGAATTCTCTCCATTAAACAAAAAGAAAACAAGAGAAAATATATCATACCCTTGAGAGGAGAGACGTTTCCGAGTGATATTATATGATGCCACGACCAACGTTACGATATCGCCCCGCACCCCAGCATGCATCCTCCTCACCCATCGGCAGGAAAAAAAAACCCCTCCTCCCCGCGGTAAAACTGGAACAACGTCCACCATCCGACCGCGTAGTGAAAGGCCCTTGACAGCCGGGACCAGTGGGCACCCGCGCATGGGTAGTTTTTTTCTTCTTCTTCCCTTCTTAGCGCAAGGTGGGTGGGCGTTGGCTACCGGGAGACCTGGTGAGTATGATACAGCACGTTAAACCGATTGACCACAACTGCTATAGTACCACTCACGAGGGACAAAGTTTTGATGGATTAATGTACTATATGACTGACGTGCCGTAAGTAAGTAAGTTCTGTGGGCTGGGGGGAAGACCACTCCGGTATCATACTGTACAGTGGTCGAGAAGGGACATTCCCGTTGACGGGGCGGCTTAATATGCACATACACACACACCAGCCGTGTGGGAACGGTTGTCGTGTTGTCGACCGGTTTATGCACTTGATAGTGTACTGTGCGAGTACGAGTGTTATGGCGTATACGGTGGTCAGTCCGTGAGTGGAGTGGAGTGGAGTGGAGTGGATTGGGTTGGGTTGGGTTGGGTTGATGGGGTTGCGAGTATGTATACACTTTACTGTACAGTAAGTAGTGGTTTAACTTATGGGGTTTGACACGTCCAATGGGATTGATTAGACAGTACTGTACTGTAAGTGTATCATACCGGGGGCTCTCATATGCAAAGTTGGGGATCAGAGGCTTCTTGAATATGTCTGTCGTGTCATGTCATATCACACCACAGGGGATTTAACGGTACGACACTATAGTCGGGTTGCTCACGAGGTGGGTATCGGAGGTATGTAACTTGCGGGGTCGGTGGGCACTGTGCGGGTATGTATGTATATAATGGTTTGCTATATCATGGTACCGGTAGTATGATACCGTTATGGGATGATTGGTTTAGGGTAGAGTGGGAGACTTTTCCGGGTCCATGAATTCGGGGTTGATACCGGTGTTGTATGTACTGGTACTGTATGTATCATGGCGAGACGGGTTTGGCTTGTGCTGTTGCTGGGACGTGGTGATTGTAGCATCGTGATCTGAGACCCATTGGTGTGCACGATGAGGAGATTTGTCGTGCGGGATGGGGTTGGCTGGTCTCGGAACGCCCAATTTTCCTTTTTATTAGGTTTTTATTTTATTCTTTTATATATATGTCTCCGGTCTACCACAGATCTTGGGATCTTGGTTCGGCTCGGTTCGGGGTTGTTTGGGGGTTTTCGCAAAAAGGTTTGCTGCCGTCTTGCTTTTCGGTCTCGTGGTCGCCATGTAGAGGCGGTGCTCTCATGCCCATTGGCTCATGTCCTTTTGGCCGTTTGGGTCGATGGGGCCGGCGGGGGTAAGGAGGAAACTACCGGTATACGACACTAAAATGTCGGCAACGGTAACGGCGGTTGTCTATTTTTTTTCTTTCCTTTTTCTTCTTTTGCATGTGCACAGGATCGTCCAAATCTAATCCGATCATCGCTGTTCGGATGGAAGCGGACTGGGCAGTTTGGTGGAATTTTTTGGTTCGCCGGTTGGAAATGTTGTTTTCTTCGACGAGTTTGTGCTATCGCATTTATGGCTTGGAATATCTCAACTTGTGATATGATACCATGGACCTCCCCATTGTGCTCCCCTACCTCCTCCACCTCCTCACTCTCCCTCTCACGGGATCAATGGACTAGGCGAATGGAGTCATCCAGCCCCCTTGTCGCGAGCGAGAAGCTTCTGGATGCTGTACTGTACTTGTGTTTGGTGATGGCTATCCATTGACCCACGGTGTAGGCACAGCTACAAGAGCTATTGGTATTGGTGACTTCGCACTTTTGAGAGCGGGTAATGGCCTACCGCACATTTGCGCCGTTGGGGGAACTGTTGATTCGGGAAACGAACAAGGGACCAATTTTTTCTCCGTGGATACAGTATGTTTTCGCTTTCAAACCCCTCTGAACTTGGTGGTCCGAGAAGCGCAAGCAGAGCCGGTGTCTAGCGATTGCATTTATTTTCCCTGTACTGTATTAATGTGAGAATGTCCGACCCTGTGATTGGTGCCTGAATACAAGTGCTGGGGCGGTGGCCGGCCCTGGATCCGATGAGAAGAGGAGGGATTGTGGGAGTCAAGTACCGGTAACTCAGTGAACTTGTACCCGTACTGCATGCCGCGGGCTGTAAACTACTGCCTCCAAGGTCCTCCTCCGGTACCGTACATACACCCACAGCCGCTTTCGACCTTTTGCCGACTGGTCGAGAGGGATAGAAAGAGAGGAAGCAAGCCCTATTTTCAGCTTCTACCTCTCTACTAGTGTTGCCTGTGCTGGTATTGTTGTCAATTTCGCCCTGCGTCGTTGGGTTCGCCTTTCCTCCCCCCCTCCCACTCAGCGTCCGCAACAGCTCCTCCTCCCTCCTTCCCTCCTCCTCCTCCTCCTTCAATCCAGCTGTCCCACACGCATACCTTCCATTGCTCGGTCCCGCTGCTCCTGTCGACGGCCTTGACCCGCACATCTGCTTTCCGTACTCTTCGCCATGCTCCTCAGGCGGTGAGCCCCGACGTAATACTTGTATGTGAGTATCTCCTGCGGACATTGCCTCCTGCCTGCGTACCGCTTCTAAAAATAAAAATAAATGTATAAAAAAAAAGGACTCCATCCCCTCAGCGTACTGTCTTCTATACCCCATAAGGCTGGTCGGTCGGTCGAATTTCGAATTGTTGTTTGCTATCCGTCTGGTATAGTGAACCAGATCTATAATTAAGGCGAAGGAGGCGTGGGGGAAGGATAGGGATAGGAAGGGAAAAGGAGGGGGAAATTGGAACCCTCGTACCAGAGACGATACCAAACGAGCAAAAGGGAGCCACGGAGGGCCGGTACGAGGCCAGGAAGCGAGAAAGGGAACGGTCAAGTGAGCTGTGTAGGGGCTAAACGCCGGTGTAAGGGAAAAAACAGAGAGAGAGTGGGGAGCTGAAAGAGATTACAAGCCATCTGACCCATTACTATCTGGGCCATTCCCAGCCCTTAACCCCCCCCACCCCCAATCTCCTTGTCCGCATGAAGGTTGTTCAAACGCCTTGGAGACGCTGATTCCATTCCTGTCGGCAGGTCCCAAATCAGTTCCTGCAACTTTCTGCGAGCACAACTACCCTGCGCGCCGTGAAATAATATTCTCCGGATTTATCTGACCCTTGTCGGGGATTATCCACATGGCCACTCCACCTCAATATAATGATGGACGGAAGTCCCCCGCCGGCCGAAAAGCCCCCCATGCGCTGACAACCACCTTTTTCAACAAGTCCAAGAAGGGCGGGGAAGCAAAGAGCCCGACCCTGCAATCTCCAACAATGAGGAGCAACTTTCCACCTGGAGCTGGCCATGGTGAGGGAAATGACGATCTTAGGACGGAGCCTATCACTATCCCTCAGTCCCCCAGCGTCGCATCCAACAGGCCGAAGAAGCTTGCCCCAAATTCCTTCAACACCCATTACCGGACTATATCGAGATCAATGAACGATCTGGGGAATATATTTTCTCGGGGGAGGTCCCCGCCAAACAGGGAACCTTCTCCACGAAGAGGTGGCAGTGGGCCGTTAAACCCGCTACCTGAAGGGAGGAGAAAAGGCGCACCTGATTCGTCGCCCCGCCTCAGACCAATGGAGAGTGGAAGTGTTCCCTCAATTTCTGTTATGCAGCACGGAGAGCACTTTCCTAAAGATCAAATTGTGAAGGAGGGATGGATTAATATGATCGATTCTTTATCAGTTAAGAGGGGTCCACTCCGGGAAGCTTGGAAGTTACAGCATGCCGTGATAACTGGTGGACACTTCGTGTTGTACAAACCTTCATCTAGTCTTCAAATCAGGGCCTTCGACTTAAACGCAGTCCCATCGAGTCCTCCCAGACCACAAAGTGCCCCGGCAACTGCATCCCCTACGTTTAATGCCTCCGCCCTGCGCCACAAGAGTACCTCAAGACACCCAGAGATTGTTGATGACGACCATGGAAGAGTAAAAGGAGGAACTGTGGAAGCTCTGTGCCATGAGCTCATGTTTACCGAGAACGATGGCTTTGTGCAAGGGGCGACGAGGACCTTACCCGGGTGGACGAGTCCGGAGACAGCTTTATCAGTTTTGACCGAGCTCTCAACATTGAAGGACTTATCCCCTAGGATCGCACACGTCCTGAGCTTATTAGTGGATTCTGCCCCTGGGTTGCTCCTGGAGCCTGGTTGTTACAATACTGCTAGACTTTTGATTGAGAAGGGAATCACGCCTCATAACCCGGGGCTTGCCAGAGATCTTAGGGCGGGAATTGAAGCTAGGGCCGCAAGTTTACAAGAAGAGCTGAGCTTGCTAAGTAATTCTAATAAAGGTAAGCCGGTGTTCGGTTCTGTAGTTTTGAACCTTGCTCACCCTTTGATAGAACCGTCTAGCCCGCATCCAGATGCCTTCAGTACACTGTCAACAAGTCTTACCACCGACGAGTTCATGCGGGTTAACCCAGAGATATTCGCCGCACAGGTTCATTTGTTCCATTTGAGGTATTTGAGAGTGTGGAATCCCGAGAACGATATCTCCCTCTTACTTGCTTCCCCACACTTACCACCACCCGTGCATCGTAACCCTTTGATATTCACAACTTCCAATATGCATTTCCTTGGGGATAGGGTGTTATCCCAGGTTTTATCTGGGGATTCAGCTTTGTCTGTGGATCGCCGTGCAACTGTTCTTTCCCAATGGCTGAAGGTTGCCAATTTGCTACGGAAGAGGGGCGATATGGCTGGATACATGGCAGTGACGATGGCCATTCTTTCCCCACCTATCTTGCGTTTGAGGGAGACCTGGAGCTTGATTGAAAATTCTTTGTTTGAGGATATAGAATATGGCGCGAGTCTTATGCGGGTTCTGGAACGAAGGCGGTTGGAGGAGGGCGAGAGTAGCTGCGAAGGCTGCGTATTAGTTCCCGAGGGTGGCAGGGAAGAGATACCCTTTGAAGAAGTTGTGCCGTATTTTGGGGACCTGTGCCATTGCATGGACGAAGCGTACGAGAGCCGAGTCCGCAATGTGGAATATCCTAAATTTGTCCAAGCGACCAACGCCATTTCAAGAGCCTTGGAGAATTGGAAAGCAGAATGGGCCAACGCTAGGCCGTATTTCGAAGTAGGGGGTGCTAGAGTTTCGAAAGAGGTGGAGCAATTGCAGAAATGCTTGAGTGCTCTCAATATGAATAATACGAATCCCCCATCTGCCAATTCGACATCATCTTTCGATATGTCTCTGGCCTGTGAACCATCCTCGACAGGGGTCTATCTACTATCACATTATCACCAACGTCTCCCTTTGAGCACAGGCGCAAATGTGCCGCTTGTATTCACGGATGTGCTCCCTAGCTTCTCACTTTTTGCGAGAGACGACGCCCTGGCGATCTCAGGTTCCCTCCATAAAAAGACACCAAGTTCTGGATTAGCATCGCCTAGTTATGGCCCTGGGGGACAGCAAACCCACCATCACCATCACCATCACCACCACCACCATAACCAGCCTGGGCCTTCGCAGTCTAACCAGAACCTGCGCCCACCCACTTCGTCATCTCATCAGCCATCACTTAGGAGGACACGGTCTTTCCCACCAGCAAAAGATACCGCTCAAACAACCGGATACGATGAATTGGATTTTACGACCCGAGAACGTACGGCGGGCTTGCAGGGCGGGGACGATGCGATGCTCCGTGCGATCAGAGACGTTGCTGGCGTGGGGCAACAGCTTTTTTACTCTAAGGACGGCGAGTTGGTCTTGAAATCAATCACGGACGATGCCAACACTTCCAGGCCTTCGAGCGTGATAGAAACTACGTCTAAGAGAGTGAGCGGTGCGTCTAGGAGAATGTCTGCTCAGTTCTATAGTGACGCCGCGTCTCCCCGTATGTCTGAGCAGTTGGATGGTAGTATGCCGCCCACGCCTGCCCGTGAAGAATTCGCCCGAGAAGGGTTCGCACTAGATAACCGCCGCTACTTGCCCGTGGTTCCTAAGGGAGGGACTCTTGAGCGATTGGTTGATATCCTTGTCCTGGGTGTGGAGGACTTCAGCAGGCGAATGAATGGGCCGGATCCGGAGTCCACCGCTGAGAATGCACCTCTACTCCGAATGAATATGGATGTGTTTACGATTACTTTCTTTGCTACATTCCGCAGGTATTTTTGGCTCCTCTATCCGCCATGTGTGGTTGGATCTGGATTGGTACTGATCCGATTTTAGTTACTGCTCGCCTATCGTTTTAATCGATTACCTTAAGAAGCGTCTATTAGGTTCCAAATCGGCGGCCACGATTTCGGATAACGAAAGCGATGATGTTGTATTTCCTGATTGGACGGGCGTAGACCACGTTAGTGACGAGTCCATTGATTGGAACCTCGTGGCCAAAATTCATATGGGGATTCTCGAGGCAATGAACACCTGGATATCGGAGTTCTTTATTGATTTCCACTGCGATCAGTCACTCGGGGACTCTTTCGTGTCTTTTCTGGCTATTGCGTCAAAGGAACTCGCATACTGGAAACATCTAGGACCGGAACATGGGTACCTCCGCAGACAGGCGGATCAGATCAATAGTCTTTGGCACGATGTTAGGGGAAAGTTCTCCAACCTCAACTTCTCGCCCTTACGCTACCAAACGCAACGGATGAGTTCGCCGCGTGGGGACCTTCAAATCCCGCCCTTGACCAATATACCAGCTATTGAAGACTTTGTCAACTCATTAGAGGCGAAAGTCCTGGAGTCATTTCGGATGGTAAAGCTTGTTGACTGGATGACGGCGTTTGAAATGTTCGAGACGCAGAGCGCCGAATCTCTCGGGTTTTTTGTGCCTAAGGTCGCACTTCTCTCTCATGATGACGACGAAGTCTTTCAAGACATTTTCTTCGTGTTGAGGAATATCAGACGGGGTAACTCAACAGCCACTCTGCTCGAGATATTGCCAAGGCCCTTGCGAGAGCTTTGCAACCTGCGCTCGGACATTACCAACTGGGTTCTTGCACAGATTATAGACCCCCAACTAAACGCCGATCGAAGGGCTCACCGTATCGCAACACTTCTCAGATGCCTCACAATATCTCGAAAGCGCATGTCGGGGATGGACCTTTATGAGGACACCAGGGGCGGGACCCGACAACAAGTGCCGTCTTTGGTTGCTAGCGCAATCGCAGCAGCACTTGTCAGGCCGGAGAGTCGGGTCTTTAGTTATGCTTGGATGATGGGAGTAAGGATGACGGCTGGGGTAGTAACCCAAATCGACACCCTTGAACAGGTTATTGTCGAGGGACTTGAGGGGATACGATCCTCAAAGCCTCTTACACCCTGTGTGGGATGGATAATCGAGAGGCTGCTTGAGATTGTATGTTACGTGCCAAACATGGTTGTCGAGAACAATCGTTTGATCAACTTTGATAAACGCCGTTATGTCTACAACTTTATCAATAATTTCACCCATGTCAGCTCTGGGGCGCCAATTGATGAACACCTTTCGGCCTGCGCGGACATTTCATTGCCATATCTTCGTCTTCCCGAAATGCGAACCTTAAGGGAATCAGCTGCTAAGGAAAATCATCCGATCAGGCAAAGCAGGATCAAGGTGTTCTGGAAGTTACTGCACCAAGAACAAGAGAAGCTTAGACGTGATGCGAAACAGCGTGATGCGATTGAGAGGCAGCAGCGTCAGCAGCTCCGTGCAGAGCACCGCCGACAGCCCACTGCTCTTAACCTTCAACCTGCTGATAAGAGGAGTAATAAGAGGCTGGGTGTAAATTCTATCTTTAAAGCCGTGCGGCCCATCTCGATGGCATTGGGTGGATGGACCCCTCCTCAATCTTCTGCACGAACGGTCGCTCCTACGGACTTGCCTGCGTTGAAAGCTATTGAGCACGGGAAAAAACCGTCAATCACTATTGACTTGGCCAGCGTGGCTTCAGTTTCTTGTCCCAAGACAACCCGCGACAGGTACATCTGGAAAGTTCGCACAGATCATGGGGTTTCATATCTCTTCCAGGCCTTGTCTGACAAAGACTTGGAAGGATGGCTTCGGACAATCGCGACCATCCGTGGTATCAACGCCACTGATGCTACGGAGTCCATTGATGGCCTTACTCTTATGTCCCAGAATCGTGTGCCTCAGCCTGTGTTTGGTGTGTCTTTGGATGACTTATGCAGGAGGGACCATGTGAAGGTGCCCATAGTGGTTGAGGCTTTGCTCACTGAGATAGAAACACGAGGTTAGTCTTGAGCCATCCAATTACTGCAGGGCGTGAGGACTAACAAACATATCGCTAGGTATCGACGAGGTTGGCATCTACCGAGTACCTGGATCCCTCTCAAGCATCAATGCACTGAAAAATGCTCTTGATTCTGGGGAAGAGGTGAGAATGGACGATGATAGGTGGTACGATATCAATGCCATCGCGGGTGCATTCAAGCTTCTGATGCGTGAGCTCCCAGACAAGGCGCTTGGCGACGAAGCGCTGTACGAACTTAGGAACATAACTTGTAGGTTCTCACTGTTGAACTTTAAGTTGACAAAATACTCACATGCGATAGCTGATATTACGGATGATGATCAACGGGCACTTGCTTATCGAGATGTTATGCTTCGATTGTCTGTTAATAACTATAACTTTCTCCGTCGCGTTTATACACACTTTGCCAGGTATGTTCCTATCAAAAAGAACAAGCGATTTAATGCTAATAGCTTTATAGAATTGCAAGTAATGCAGCGATCAACAAGATGCATGCGGTCAATCTTGCGATAGTGTTTGGTATGGGGCTTTCTCCCGGCTCCCTAAATATGCCACTCGGCGTATCTCCGGACTTGGGTCTTTATCAAACCATGGTCAAAGTCTGGATCACCCATGCCGAGCTGGTTTTCCCGGAAGTTGAGGACTATGAGGACCGAGAATCAGCATCAGCGCCAGTTAGCAAGGCCGAGTCGGTTGAGATCCAGTCATCCGAACCCTCATCCCCGGCCATAGAGTACTCGTCGCCCCGCATGAGCCTCGATGATAGTCGCCCTCGTCTCTATGTTGAATCCGATAAGGGTTCCGTATAAGTTGCTGATAGTGCATTCGGCTGGTCGTTACAACAAATCTGTGGTGATCGATTTGTGGGGCAGAGGGGTAGGGGGAGAGGGGCAGGCAAACCTGGTTTCCTTTTGTTTTCAAAAAGTTTGGTGAGGGTGTATTTTTTTTCTTTCGCTATTTCTCATTCATTAGAATGTACTCGTTTTTCCAACCTTTTGCTCGTTACCATTTGACCGTTATCACACTTGCTACCAAGAGGAAAAGGAGAGTTATTTGGCGCCTGGGTATGGGTTATCGCGCTTGTATTTGCGCTGGCAATTGCATCGCAGAGATTGTTTTTCGTTCAGTTACTCGCTCTCGTTTGCCTCTAGTATGATATCAAGGTGACTTATTATACTTCTCTGTGGCCAGGATGCTATTTTTGACTTTTCGACTTTTCCTTCTTCCTCTTCACTTTCCAACTGGTATTCTACTGGAGTATGCGTGCACGCTGTTCCAGAGTTGTACACAGGAAGGCAGCTCGGGCCACATGTGCTTGTACGAGCGCTCGTACCGATACACTGTAGTATAAAAAGGCGGAACGAGTAATCTACGTGTGAAGATGAATACTGTATAGCTCAATACGGTACGAGTGAATAACTTTGGTATGGCTTTAATATGGCTAGAAGCGCGAGTTGAGCAACCAGGAGCATCCTCGCTAAACTGTATCATAGACCTGGAGTCAGTGTAAAATCATGAAGCTGTATGGAGAGTTGAAGGAAGCGAGGGGTAAGTTAAAAGGGCAGAGGAGGCGCTGTCGTCCCTCCTCTCACTCCCATATCATACTTGAGTAGCCAGAAGTGAAAAGAAAAAAAAAATTTGTGGCGCGTGCAGCCTTGTCGCCCCATCCAGTATGAGCGGTTCACGGCCTCCTCCTTTACCTGTGCTCCAAACAACCCGGAAATAAAGACAAACCATAGAAAAGACCTTAAGATCAACCACCTCCCCTGTTTGCTCTGCTCAACCCCTTTCCTTCCTCCCCCCCTCCTCCCCCCCTCCTTATAACCACAGCTTTCCTCTCCATCAACACAACTTTCCTCCCACCACCGATCAACCTTCTACGGCTAAGGCTTCGGTTTGTTCACTGCCAACCGCCAGTTCCTTTAGCTGTGTCGCGATGCCCAAAGAACATAAACGTGAGCCTGATGATACATGATCACCTTTCCCGCTGCCTCTTTTAGGTTTGCTAACAATTAGTTTCAGCAAGGTCGCCTGTTGTGGGCCCCACTCCGCCTCTTCCGGCCTCAGTCGAGGAGTCCTATCGCCAGAAATGTATCGATTTAAAGAAACGCATCAGGGAGATAGAATCTTCCAACGATGTTCTTGTATTGCGCATGCAGAGATCTGAGCGTGGAATTCAGCGTATGAGATTGGAGCGTGCTTTTCTACTTCAACAATTAGAGAGACGCACCGATCCCAGGGTCGACGATTCTGATGGAAGCCCAAGCCCTCCGCCTACTGTAAGCTCTCTCTCTTTCACGCTCTTTCTTCTTCCTTTCATCCCTACACCCTATAAGGCCCTTGGATTGGAGCAGCTAGCTTCTTCGGGTTGTCGCTAATTTTGACCTCCGGGAATATTCAGCCCAAAGAGAAGCCTCTCCGCGCCAAGCGTGCCCGTAAGGATCCTCCTCCTCTGGATTCCCCTATGCGCCAGGCATCGCCTTCTCCCTCGAGGGATGGTCAGGATTACACCTTTGTTTCTACTGCATTCGGTTCAGCTCCCACTGATAATGCCAACTCTCCGGGTCCCAACCGGCCCAGCGTCCCGCCCAGCATGCCTCCTAGGACCGGAAAGGGTTCTAGAAGCAAGGGTGGACCTAAAAGACCTCCTAATGCGTACATGATGTATGTCTACACTAGCTAGCAAACACCCTTGGCAAACTTTGAAATGCACTTGCTGACATGATGTAAGTTTCTGCGAAAAGGAACGGGACGCAGTAAGAGAGCGTGAATCTAAGAAGGACGGTTTCGACATGCACAAGGCCTTGGCTCAGGCTTGGAGAGATCTCAAAGCTGAAGGCCAAAAACCATATTTCAACGAATACGAAAAAAATCGAGAAAAGTACCTGGAAAAAGTTAACGACTTGAAAACTGATGCCGACAAGAGCTCCGTCGGCGGGAATGGAGGCTCCTGGAAGAGAGGGGGGAGGGCTATTTCTACCGCGTCCACCGTCGTTGCGGCCTCTTTCGAGGTACCACTAAGCCCGGCACCCGGCAGCACTAACGATGAAGAGCAGGAGGATGCCGCAGTACCGTCGCAAGGCGACGGAAACGGAGGCGGATTCACAGCTGTAAACAGGTAATCGATCTTTGGAATCGACAATTGTGTATGATGGCGTCGGTCTGTTTTCAGCGAAAATTGCATCTGCATGAACTCTTCTTGTACGCTTAATTCTGTTCTCTTTTGTTTGGTTGCTTCTTATCCGGCACCTCCCTGTACTAGCAATTCCTAGGCCAGGCCATCATAATGCTCAGGGGATATTCCTACCTACAGCCTCTGTATTATACCTAGAACTTTTCCTAAGAACTCGATCTGCTACTTGTGCGTGATTTAAGTTATGGTGCCGATCAGCAAAATCCAAGGCCTGCTGCACTATATCATAAATCTAATTTAGTTTGCGCGTGGGTATGATATCCGTACGAGTGCAAACGGAAACAACAGGCAAACGGGACGGGAAACTTGCTGTGAACACGTGATCCGAGTGAGTCCGAGTGAGCTCAATGCTGTGTCAAAAGTGACGTGCGGGAGCAGCGAGAGGTCGACCGGGTAACGGGAGGAGAGCCGTATCTATACCGCTCTTCCCACGAGTGCCCGTTGGAGAGCAAACTTGTTGAAGCATAGCCATCTTCACCAACGCTTTTCTTGACTTCTATACCTATGGAAGCTCCGATTTTTTCCCTATAGCTCTTAGCACCTGCAGATCTATCATTCAACACACCTCCCTCATGGCTACCGCGACGACACCAACACCCACACCTTTGATTCGACCAGTCGTTGCACCCGGCGCCTCAGCATCCAGCGCAACCATGTCAACCGCAGCACCAACACCTCCATTACCCCCCAGCCGGGCTCCCAACCCACCACAACCAACCCCCACAGGCCTTCCCAAAGTCCGCCGCCGCTCTTCATCGATCCATGCCCAACAACCCCCCTACCAGCAACTACACCACACAGCCAAGATCGGTCCCCAGCGTACCTCCAAGATCTCACAAAAACTCAAGTTCCTTCCCTCGCCCGCGGACCAAGACGAGGAATCTGGCCGCGATGTCTACTCCCAGGTCACCCGCATCAAGGACACAACTGCCCGCCGGGACGCGGAGCGCCTGGGAAAAGCTGAGAGAGCGCACTTGCCCAGGGTTACGGCCTACGCTACGGCGAACGCTTACAAGATGGAGAGCATGATGAGGTTTCTCAAGTCCCGGCAGGCCAGCCGTGGGACTGCGCCGAAGCAGTTTGACGAATGCATTTACACCCCATTTTCTTACACTTACGAGGCAAGGCAGCGGGAGCGGGAACAACAACAACAGCAACTGCGGGGACAGGGATACGGGCGGAGTGAGGAATTGATTGATCTTGGGGGTTCGGTGGGCCCTTTGGACGTTGTTGGGGATCATGGCGACGAGGTTGGTGTGGGTGCTGGTGGAGATGGGGAGGAAGTGGGCATAGACGAGCAGGACGATAGCTCGTTATTCAATTTTGTGATGGCGCAGAACCGCTCTGTCGAGAGCTCAGAGGTGTTCCTGTTCCAGTACGGCGTCATCGTGGTATGGGGAATGAGCATGAAAGATGAGGAGCGCTTCCTCAAGGACATTGCGAAATTCGAGAGCGAGAAATTGGGCGAGGACGACGTCCAGGTTGAGAATTTCAATTTCTACGTTACCAGCTCGTATCAGCCCCGGATCTACAATGACTTTATTACGCTGAAGGATGGTGGAAACTACATGATCAAGCTAAGCATCAGTCACGCTATCGCTCAATCTGTAAAGGTAGATAGAAATGCATTCAAACACAGAATTTTTAAATTTTTTTGTTTTGCTAACGCCCAAGCGACATAATAATAATAGATATCCCTCTTTGAAGACCTAGTCGACAACACAATAGAAGACACGAAATCAATCCCCCAAGACGTCGCCACAACCGGAAAGGTCAATATGAGTCGTCGAGATATAATGAAGCACATAGGCGAACTCTTTATCCTAAGAATAAACATAAACCTCCAAGGCAGCGTGCTGGACTCACCGGAATTGATGTGGGCTGTACGTCCCTTTCCCACGCATATATTGCCCATACAATCCCGGTCCCATACCGGGAAAAAAATGAATACCAATCTAACAAATAAACCAGGAACCCCAATTAGACCCCGTCTACCAAGCCGCGCGCTCATACCTAGAAATCAACCAGCGTGTCACATTACTAAACCAACGACTAGATGTCATCGGAGATTTGGTACCCTAAATCCCACCCCCTCCACCAATCCCATGCTGACTGGCTTTAACTTTTTTAATATAGTTGCAAATGCTCAAAGAGCAAATGTCCCACTCGCAGGGGGAACACCTGGAGTGGATTGTCATTGTGCTTATCGCAGCGGAGATCCTGGTCGCTGTGATTAACGTGGTTGTTGATCTGCTTGCTGGGTCGGATTGACCTTCATCGTGAACGTCCGCGGCTGAGATAACTTAAACCTACGAGAGGGGTCAGGGAGGCTTAATATTGGGTGAATTTGGTAGTTTCTGTTTCGCTGTATCATAATTTTGTCTGGCCGAGACCTTCCTTCTCACCTGTGAGATATCGGCGGTTTTGCATTTTGTACCATTTTACCTGCCTCCCCCTTTTTTTTGTTTGCCCAGTTGGGCGTGCGGGCACTGCAACTATAATTCATGGCTTCTTAGAGACCCGTTACCGCACTGTATAATACCATACTATAATAATCCTCATCATGGGCAATGCCGATCCTCTCTTTCTTTGAAAACTTGATGAACTGTTCTAAGCAGCGGCAGATTTGCACAACTTGGTATAAATTTACCTGCTCCGGGGGGGTCGTTAGTTCTAGAAACTAGAGGAGTTTTGAAGACAATAGCAACTACGTATGAGTAGCACCTAAGGACGGCATCCCAAGAATAACACGATAATAACAGATACTTGTACCGTAGGAGGGGGGTAACTTGAATCGGTATTAAATACAGTATACAGAATTACGTTCCCACGAACAGGAATATCATAAAATGCTCTATCTTAGTATTGACACTTGTGATAACTAGTCTAGTTCGGAGTGTATGATATCCAGAGATGGTGAAGAAAAACAAAACACGACGTGGGCATTCGAGTCCGGGAGTGTCTCTACAAAGTTAGCGAAGAAGCAGATATACGATGTATTATATAATATAAGAAAAGCATAGGCAAGGCCTACCACCCCCCTCCCTGTTCACCGCCATTCCGGAATAGATATATGGCACTATTAAAAAAAAAAAACTTGAAGATAAATAGCATAGCGTAGCATGACCTTCTACTAACTAACTAGCCCTGCGGAATTTTCGTGTGTTCTTTTCTTGATGGGGGGGGTATCACACGGTATATTAACTGGTGGAGCTCAGACGGCCAGTCATTTATGATGTTGTAGACTCCTGTCCTTAAGTTAATTAATTACCAACCGAACGCACCACACACTGTGCAATGTGTGAATTGGGAAACAGAGCGTTATCATGGTATGATATGTATCATAGAATAGTGTGACATTTACAAGTGCACGTACAGTACAGTGCTATAATTCATTTAATCTAACTCACTAACTATTCCTCCTCCAACTCAATTTCCCCCTCCCCCCAAAGAAAAAAAGGTTTCTGGGAGAATTGGATATCTTCCCGCCTTTAATTGCCACCGCCAAAACCGAAAAACGAATAGAAGGAGAAGAGTAGGGAACCGGTGAGGAGGAGGAGGGGGGGATATTGTAACGAATAAGGTGGTGATTGGAGGATATGATCCAGGTTTCTTTCTATATAATATATACTACCGGTATTATTATGATATATGATGGGTTATCTATTCTCTAGGTTCTCTGGATAAACATACTATGATAACTAATTATTATGAAATACTAAGTCAGCCGTTGGTACGATAATATTATGATAAATTTAACAGCAGCAGATAACCTCTTCCATCCATCCATCCATCCATCTATCCCAATACGGGTGCAGTTATACTCCAGTGTATCAGACCGGTGACCAGACTTACTACACAGGTATGATACTAGTACTACCTGCACACAACAGCATAATCCCTTACCCTGTACTCTCGTTCACTTTTAGCGTGGTACTAATGCAAGGATCACCAATGCTTAACATGGAATGGGTAAAGCCGGATCTACATGGCCAAGTACTTGAGTACTGGAGTACTCAATCCCCAGATTGATGTTGCACCTATTGTGGTAGTAATCTTTCAAGAAAAATAATAATACAATTCTAATCAAGTAATATAAGACATAGTAACTTTCTCTATTACTCAGATAAGATTTCTTAAAAATACTTAAAATATTAAACTTGAAGTGTTTTGTATGGTTCTCATAAGTTAGGGGCCGTTTGGCGTTACGGTTTTGGGTGGTTACCAACCATGGTTTGGCCTCAAAAACCTGCTTATATAATCCATTTTAAGGGCCATAATTGGTCAGTTTTTATGCTTTATGGGCAAACCATGGTTGGTAACCACACAAAACCGTAACGCCAAACGGTCCCTTACTAGTTGGTTCTAGGCTCAGCAGCACTGGCTAGTATATGATAGATGCTACTACTATTTTTCTTCCTTCTTTCTCTTACTATTTGCATCTACTTGCTCCTGGTCCTGTAGAGATTATATAGGGTAATTAGTATCTCTAACTGTCTAGTCTGAGTCTATTGATCTTTTGAGTAGAAAAGGATAAACTATTAACTGTACTAGTGTTAGGAGGTAGGTAACTCTAAAGACAAGCAAGTATATAGTAGGCCTAACTTGAATAGTCTTCTATTTTGGAGATAGTCAAGAAGGCTTATAAGATAGAAGTTTTAAAGTAGAATGAATATAGTATTAATAAGATCTCTTCTCCAGTCACTGATAATGGCTTAAAGCTAGGAAGGTACCTTGATATATATATTCCATATATGGGGGGTTGCAAGCTATATCAAATTTCTTACTAACTGGTAAGGAACCTGGACCATTAGGTATTTTCTGAGTATGATCTTCACATACCTACCTGTTCTCTATCATTCAACTCCTTGTTCTCATATATGAGTATAGATACAGATTACTATAGCCATTCATTATAGACTCATTACAGAATACTCAAATGGCTTGAATTGAGGAATACCTAGAAGAGAAATATTACTATACTAGTATAATGGTAATCTAGAAGCACCAGGAAATTTATCCCAACCATCCAAATTCTCTACTTCTGCTAGCTCTTCATCTTCCTCTTTATGAAAACCCTCTTCCTGTTCCTCATACCTATCCACATATATAGCCAAACCATCATCTTCTAGTTTGATTTCATCTTCTAAATCATCAAGGTTTAGTAGTACTATATCACAAACTGTGACTAAGCAAGGCAGATTTCACATAGCTCGGACTTCCGAGTTATAGGTATGTTGGGATTTCACATGATGCACATTAGAGCGCCATAGGTTATTATGTTTACCTGTTCGTGACTCACAGTTGTGAGTCACACGATGTTATGATTTTCACACATGACGCATATTTATGAGTCATGGGTTTCACTCAGGTGACGCAAGTTGTACACCTGACTTGGTTATTATGTTTTGATTGGTTTTAGGCATGTTGCGCAATGACTCATAGGAGTCATCTGATGGATTTCGCATGACTCATGGTTATGAGTCACAGGGTTCGTATGACAAGAGGTATGAGTCACGCCAGGTGAAGAGCTACTATATAAAGGGGTCACTAGGACCCTGAGTATGAGCTCTTCACACGTTCTTCTTGTTTATTTCCTACCTTCAAGTTATTATCAAGAAAACCTACCTTTATACTCTTTAAGATTTATCTTAAGAAACCCAAGAATTGTCTTTCCTCCTACGAGGAGAGATTAAGTCCTAAGCAAGGACTAAGGAGAAGAATAAGGAGATAGGCGCGAACAGGATAGTAGTCATAGGACTGGACTATCGGGATCGCGTAGGCACAGACCTGAGAACTATCACCTTATATCAAGAGAAGTATCGTTACCTGTCGCTTGGTTCTACTCAGTAGGATTCTTAACATACTACTTGTGAGCCTGTCAGGTCCTAGTTGCCAAAAATGTTTTCTTCAATATCCACAGTATTTATGCTTTGTTTCTCTCTTTCTACCTATTATCAGTATTTCTCTTAATTTACAAATTAAATAGATAGTATATACTTAAATCCAAACTCTATACTAGTATATCAATTCAAGAACATAGAGATCATGCACTGGCTGTCTCGACAACCAACAAGTACTAAGGCATGTGAATTGACTAATTCAATAGAGTTGTCAGTTGCCAGTGGCTTTTTGAAACAATAGAGTTTCTGAGTTGGGTTCCTGAGTTGGGTACCATGACCAGGATGTAGAACAAAGAAAGCTGATCAGAAAAAATAAAAACTTCCAAGCAATTACCCCAGATTCCTCACTTTTACAAATGATGGGTCTAAGAGTACATTAGAATCAACCATTTATTACCCGTACTCATTGAGGACTAACCTTAGTATCAGGGTGTAAAGGCGGTTGAATAATAGCCAATCTTCCACGATGGTATTACGGCTGAGATCAACACATACTCAAGCGCCACTGCACCTGAGTGGTGGCAAGTTCCCTAATCCTCAGCCAGGAACTCCCAGTGCTGGCTAATCTGCATTGAGATAAGGTCTTCATTTGGCATGGTGCTTGAAAACGTACTGTACGAAGGAATGCAGCTTACACCCCCTCTCGCCCTAGTACGCCCCTAGTCTAGCGCCAGTGTTTGAAAACGGTCGAAGGGATAATAACAATAATAGAGTACATCACCACCAACCTTTCCTTTTTATCATTATTAGCCTTCCGACGCCATAGCTGAAATAAATAAATATAAATAAAAATTAACAATCGTGCGTCTCGAGCATAGAAATCGCTAATGTGTGCTAAAAATCCGGTTTTTAATTATCTATCCTTGTGCTCGATTCGCTGGCTCGCCTCCGGAATATTAAAATAATGATGACCATGATATTTACTGGTATCATACGATAGTCTAGATATCTCGTGAGCAAACGACCAAGTTGCTACTTATTATCAACTAAAAACTTTTATGTCTGACTATCTCACGACTGCAATTTGCTTGCGGTAATATCTGGCTGAAGGAAGAAGAAAAAGGTCCTGTGGACACGAACGGGCTACAGTGGATACTACTTCTAGGCCTATTATATTACCAATAGCAAGATAGCACGGGGTAGACTATTGGAGGGAGAGAGGGAGAGAGGGAGAGAGAGGTGTGCGTGAAATTGGAATCAGCAAGGACCAGTTCCCATAATTACCGGTAAGAAGGGACTGCTTGAAACTCTGAGATGTTGCCTTCAGAACCGTGTCCGCGGAGGAAAGCAATTTAAATACTAGGGCAACTTGTCTGGGTTTCTAACACCCAGAACCTCATGCTTCCCTTCGCCAAGTGTATTGATCCAACATACTCCCTAGTCTGCTACCACAGGTTTTCCGGATCACAAGCGAGCCCAAGTGCACCGTGCAAGCCCGTCCGACTCCCTATTATTATTATTATTATTCCGCCTAGTGCAGTGCACTTCCTGTTGCAGCTACGAGCGGCGTGATGGTAACTTGGCGAGTGGGTGATAGCCTGGAGAACACATCCTTTTAATAGTAATTCAATCGTAGAGGGAGGGCAAGGTCATGGATATCACTCGGTGGCAGCCCCGGTACATGCACTGAGAGGGTACTATCCAATTGGAGGTATGGCGGGTATCAACAGATAATGAATTGCCCTTCTTGTTCTAAAGACTATTTTACAATGCGTTAGATGCAGGTACTGTACTCTATGGTGTGCGTGCATGTATGAGAGCGCACAAGCTGAGGAAATAGGCAGGCAGTAACTTGTCTCCAGCCCTAAAGTTTAGAAGTAGGAGCGGGAACAACAAGTTTACTGATCCGATCAATTGAGGTCTCAGCCTCCTTTTCTATCCTTTGCAGGAGGTTCTTGCACGTCGGGATATCCTTGATAATTCCCATGACGGGGCCAGCTGTCCAGACCTACCCGTGTGCCCCATGTTAGCACCCATTGTTGGAACATAAACGGGAGGGTTAAAGGGAAATCAAAACAAATCGAGAGATATACCCCCTCGTCAATATCACCAGTGATGAACACGTTCCTCCCACGCTTCCCACTGACATAAGGCGCAATCTCCTCAAACTTCCCCGTGACACTCTCCTTCTCAATCTTCTTCGCCTCAATCGCAACCTTGTTCTTGAACAGCCGGCTAGTATTCTTCCACCTCCTAAGTAGTAACTCTGTATCGTCCTCCGTGGCTGCGACAATAGCCCTCTTGACCTTCTCATGAATAGGGGCTTCAGCAGTGCACATGAACCTGGTTCCCATATTGATCCCACAGGCGCCAAGAGCTAGCGCACCAGCTAATCCCTCCCCATCACCGAATCCTCCGGACGCAATGAACGGGGTAGTTAGCGACTGGGCTGCACATCGGAGGAGGATAAAGTTTGTGATGTCATGCTCGCCAACGTGACCGGCGCACTCAAAGCCGTCGATGGACAAGAAGTCCACGCCGAGCTTCTGCGCGGACAGCGCGTGTCGGATAGTTGTGCACTTGTGCAGGATTATTATGTTTGCTGCTTTGAGCTTCCCGATTATGGAACCGGGAGAATTACCCGCGGTTTCAACTGTGCTTGATTAGTTTTCTATTTGAGGCGGCGGTGTGGGATCGGGGGTGTCGTACCAATCCTGATACCCTCGTCGATCACGACCTGCGCGTAGGCGTCGTAGTCCGGAGGCACAATAGCCGGTAGGAGGGTGATGTTAACGGCGAAGGGCTTCGACGTCATCTTCTTGCAGCGCTGGATCTCGTTACGGAGATCTGCTGGGGTGGGTTGGGTTAGGGCCGTGATCTAAGCCGATCCGATTAGCACGGCGTTCTCCAGACGGACAGCCAGCCAGCCGCGGTGGGGAGAGATCAGTGAACATACTATTCCCAGACCCCCGGCGTTGGAGACTGCAGAGGCAAGTTCGGCATCTGGATTGCGTGATCAGAACGCATAGGTAATCAGGAAGGGAGGTGTACTTCTACAGTACGAAGTATGGATGTTACTTACACCCAACCCATTGCATCCCACCCTGAATAACGGGGACTACAGGATGGGGGTCAGACCAGATTCCGGGAGGCTGTGAATGGAGGGATGAGTGAGGGAAGGAGGGGAGGCGTACTGGCAATGCCTAAAGCTTCAGTAAGGGCTGTTCGGAATGGCATAGCTGAAGACGGATTTGTGGGGAATACGTTATATGAACGATGGCGTATGACGGGAGGGGTGGGTCTTGACGAGTAGAGAGAAGAACGGAGGTTTTTGTGAATGAGGGATAGTAGCCATCACAAGCCCGGGGTAACAAGGGGATCGGTGGGGGAACCTCGGCAGCGACAACAACTTAACTTATTAGGTTTAACATTACCCCATCAGTCACCTGGCCCCCCTGGCACCGCACCAAACTTGGTACGGTACGGTACTCGAGTAGACTTCCGACATCAGATTTGTATGAGAAAGTACTTGCGCATGGACGATCATTAAGGAACCCTACGTATAAACCATCGGTACCGATTGAGGATTAGCTCAAGTTACTAATTGGAGCAATAGGGTTGGGGCTGATAAGAGTTCTTAAGGTACTCGAGTATTATAGAACGAATAGCACTGAGAGCATACTTGTATTGTATTCGAGTACAGTACATGCTGCTGCATGCGGCATCACACCATGGATCGAGGTTAAATTTACAGAACTGGGCGCGATTTCGGCCGACGAGCCAGTTATACCCCACTCGTAGTCTACCATTGTCGAAATCTGTGATAGCATGTTCAATCGTGCATCACCAACTTACGAGGCGGAGCAGAAAACTTCAACCCCTTCGAATCCGACCGCCAGGCCCCGTTCTGGAAAAACTTGGTCCTTCGTATTTCCGACTACGTGCAAAGGCCGGCATCATTCTCGGATCGGCCATACCAGCACTCGAGTAGATCCCCCACTAACTTATAGCATCAAATCGGAGTTTATCATCTTGTTCATATTTTACTTATCGCAACCTATCAGGCTTTCTTTAGTTATGATCATTTCATACTCTATGATTCTAGCTGGATGCCAGAGTGCCAGATATTCCCATCCATTTTTGACAGCCCATGCAATGAACTCGAAAGCATGGATAACAAAAAGACAAAGAGAAACAGTATGTATAGATATCCCGTCAGCAAAACAACTCGGACAGTTACCATCGCTCCGCCATCCAAAAATGAGACCAAGAAAGTGAAATGGGGGTAAAACAAGAGAACAGAAAGAAAGAAAGAAAGAAAAACAAAGGTGGAGGTAAAAGATGGGCTATAAGAAAAGGGAAAACAGAAAGCCAAGATTGAAAATACAGTCGATGGGAATAGTGATAAGGGGAGTGGAAAAAACGGCAACGAAAATCAAACAAGCAATTGACGCCCCACCCGTCTTTCCAAACTAAAAATTAAGAGGAAAACAAAACCCCGATAATGAGCAAACAAACACAAAGGCAAAGGGAGTTTTCCCCAGCCAAGAACCCTAGTTTAGCCGCCTTGCATATCGTTTTGGGATGTTGAATTATGTCTCCATCTCGCAAGATATACCGTCCTCCTCCATCGCTGCCTCCTGATCCGGCTCCATGGCTCCAGATGACTCTTCTGATACGGCTCGTGGGGCCCTGTAGAATTCTCCCAGGGAGTCTGCGGGAGGTGAAAATGAGAATACCTGATTGGTGTTAGGCGGCGGAGGAAAAAAAAGAATGGAAAAAAGAATGAAAAGGCAACAACTCTAACATACCTCCATAATGGTCCTGGTAGCTCTGGAAGCCAAGATCACCGCTTTCTCCTCTTCAAATGCGACCCTCCATACAGCATCTGCTGGGCTCGAAAGCTCCCTCACGAGCTGACCGGTCCTAAGATCCCAGACCTTTACCCTCCCATCGGATCCACCGCTCACAATTCGAGTCTCATCAAATTGAAGAGATGTAACACTATTGTCATGAGCGGCGAGCCGGTGTACACATGCATACTTCTCCAAGCTCCATACACGGACTGATCCATCTGAGCCACCTGTTACAAGAGTGTTTCCACGCATTTGGAGCTGGCCAACAAGTGATGTGTGACCCTGGAGAACTGCCAAGCAATTTCTGGGAGACCAGAAACAAGGATCAGCGCACGCCTTCATTGTGGAAGAAACGGATGTCACGAACCCAGTATGAGGATCCCAAATTCTAACAGAGGTATCAAGCGACCCAGTAGCAATACGGTTACCATCGAAAGCTATAGCGTAGATTTGGCTGAAATGACCAGAAAGCGTTCGCAGGCATGTCCCCTTTGATATGCTCCAAACCTTTGCTGTAGTGTCATAACTCCCGCTAACAACCAAATCACCATGGATCTCCAAGCATCGAACACTAGCCTGATGTCCCACTAAGACATTCAAACAGACTCCCTTCTCAATGTCCCATATCCGCAAGGTAGTATCGCGAGACCCGGATATCGCGGTCTTGTGGTCACTCATCTTCAGACACCTCACCGTCGAGGTGTGACCACGCAGAATGGCCTTACAGTCACTATGATCACCGGGGTTAGCTCAATAACATAATAGAGCAAAATCACAAAAGGCACCTACCCCTTCTCCATATCCCATACTCTGACATCCCTGTCGCAGCCACCACTTACTAATGTGTTGCCCCACGGGACCATTGCCCAAACACCCATCACGTGTCCGGTCAAGGTTCGAAGGAGTTGCCCATCCGCATCAAATACATGAATCTTGGCGTTGTCCAGGGCAATGACAATGTATTCAGGTGTTAAATGAAGCGATGTCACAACACCCTGATCAGGTGTAATATGCCTCGCTATCGCCTTTCCACCAGTCCTCCACGCAGTCTCCACCATGTACCTCTGCTTGAAGTGGGATTTGTAAGAAGTAACCTTCGGTCGCCTTCTCTTCGCCCTCATGTTCTGGGGTGAAATTTCGGAAGTGAACCCGGAGGTAGATGGGAGTGTGTGCGCAAAGGTTGCTTCTTTAGGGGATATTGGATTTGTTGAGAATAGAGCTGAGTCGTGATGATGCATCTGGATAGACAAGCTGTACCCAGCAGCACCGCTGAGACGTCTGTAGCTATGCTTCTCACAAAGTTTTTTCCATGTGAGATCATCACTCAAAAGCCCATGCCAATGCTTGGATACTTGTGATGCTCTTGCTAGTGTTTTCGGGTCATCGATGAATGAGATTACCTAGAAACGGTTTTAGCATATATTCGATTGGGATCATTGACTCAATGTTAGAGCCTACTCTTAAACATAGCTCATTCGGCAGAGACTTGAAAGGATCCTTTTTCAGTCGAGGTGAGACGTAATTAAGCACGAAACTGAGCTGCTGCGAATCGCAAAGATTCAAAATTTCGGCCAAAAATCTCTGCCGCTCCTGGGAATCCAGTCTGCTAAAGTGAGGTCTAGCATCCCTTAAAAAAGCATCCTCATTCTCACTCGCAGTCGACCATGTTGGCAGGCGATGGATCTGCGGTGTTGGTGATGGCGCTGGGGTAGGTGGGCTTGCAGGTGCAGATGGGAGAAGATTTTGTAAGGGCGACACTATAGGGCGTGTTGGTGTAGGCAAAGGTCGGGGGTGTGAATGTGTTAGTGCCTCCGGTCTCCTGGATGTCCCGGGCAAGCGACCCGGACGTGAACTCATACCAGATATCCCACTGCCGTCCAGATCGCCAGTGTCCGAGTCCGACGTTCGGCGTGCGCTAAAACTCAGGGGTCTCCTGTAATCGCCCCCTTCCATTTTCCAACGATAAATATAAGCCGTGACCGTTTGGATAGGGCCACCACAGTTCTTCCAACCTTGTACGATATATAGCTAAGGTCGGCTTTGTTGAGTTTCCGGGCGTAAGGGGTGGCGGAATTCGAAGATTGTTGAGTCAAGAGATGGGAGGGTATCCGACGTCGATTCGTAACTACAACTTTATAAACGAAAATAAAGGGCCGAGTGTGCGGCTTAAACTAAGTATAAGGGCAAAACAATCCGGAACCGGATTCCAACTATCTGCAGCCGGCAGAAGCGGACGGATGATAGTGGTGGTGGTGATGATGATGATGGTGGTGATGATGAAGGAGCGGACGGGAGCGCAGTCGCGAAAACAGGGCGTCGGACGGGAATTTAACAAGGCAGTAAAGGGAAAGGATTTTAAGACAAGACCGCACCCAAAAACCGGCGGAAACCTCGAACGAAATGGAAACCAGGCAGCATACAGAGGCGGCGACCAAAGTTAAATCCGGAATATAAGCGGGGGACAATCGATGAGTGTGTAGATGTAAGGATGGAAGGAACGGATGTAGTGGATGAAATAGATGGAGGAATGCTGCTGCTGCTGCGTTGCAACGTGCCGGCTCAGGGTGTGCAGGTGAGGATGTGACGTGTGGGGGAAGTTGAGGAGAGAAGGATTGGAGAAGGTGGCCGCGAGTGTGATATGTATCGTATATGTGATGTGGTGTGTGTGAGTTCGAGTTTGCCTGTAGACAAGTTTAGAAGGAGTTTGATGGCGAGGGGGGTCCTGGGATTTTGGCCACAGAGACAAGGCGAGACGACCGGGGAGTGATGAGTTCAGGGAATAGAGGTAATGGTAAGGAGCCCGACCGAAAGCAAAGGAATGGGAGGTTAGGAAGACTCTTTTTCCTCAGGGTTTCTCTGCTTTTATTTTTATTTTTCCTCCTCGATGAAAAGGGGAAGGGGGGGGGATCTCGAGTAAGGGTGAAAAGAAGGAAGAAAAGAAGAGGAGAGGATAATAAGGTGCGAGTCTCCCTCCTCCTTGTCTGCAAGTGGTGTGTGGGGTGAAGGTTGAAGTGGTGAGCGACACTCTATTTCTCCTCTTCCCATACGGTATCGTGCCTCAAGTTCTACCCAACTAAGCGCAAGGGGCGACAATGCATGCCCAATACGGTAAGTAGTAGAACACAGAAATGCTCACAGAATGATATTGGCAAATGGAATAAAAAAGGAAGGGGAAAAAAAACTGATGTGCTGACAGGTACTGTACGAGTACTCGTACCGTGGAACTTCGTCTCAATATTTGATGCAAAGTCCAAAGAGGAAAGAAAGCAAAGAGGCGGAGAAAAAGAAAAGAAACAAAGGGAAAAACCAAGTGAGAGGGAGAAAAAAAACAGAAAAAACAAAAAAAAACCCCTTCAACCCGAACAGCCTGATAAGAAACGCACCTCAACTCCGGGCTACACGGTAATATGTGCTGAAGGGGGAGGAGGGAGGAGGGGCGATTAATGGCATGCCGAGAGGGTGGGAACTCCGCTCCACCAGCGGCAAGAATGAATTCGCAGTACTCGAGTACTGAGTATGATACTGTGCTCGAGCACTCGCACATAAAGTAATACAACTGGTCACCCTTCTGGATTTATGATGTCTGACTTGTCTGACGAACTTGTCAAGGGCGGCTCGCCCTGTCGATGCTAAACGCCTGCCGTGTAAAACACAGGCTGCGAGGGACCAAAGGGGCGTCAAGACCGCGGGCGAGCTTCTCCATGATACGGTACCTCTTCATACCAGTGCTACCGGTACTTGTACCTAGTGGCCCATCAGCGCAGCACACAAAGAGAACCAACTGCCAGTACTAAATGGCTGCAGCGGCTTGAACCCTTTCCCATACCGGTATCCCTAAGCTCTCGCCCCATCAATGGATTTCGCCACGGACGGCAATGCAGGACTGAGCCGCAGAAAAAGCAACCGGGTGGGGGTGAGAGGGAGAGAGGGGCGCCTGACAAGGAAGAGGGGTTCAATGACGACAGACCGTATGTCTGCAAGAGTACAAGTACCGTACTGTGCTCGAGTACGGTAATGGGACGTGAATTCATCGTGTGTCCCCTTTTCCAAACGCCACACACAACCGATCTTGGCATTGAGATCTGGACTGAAGGACTGGTCTTGCATTGCTACCGCTGAAGAGAGCTGAGGCTGGCAGGAGCTGAATGCTCTGCAGTATGATCCCAATATTTTCTTCTTGGTCGATGATGTACGACCCAGGCTTACCCCCGAAATCGACCAAGTTGAAACGGTGCTACCAGACGCATGGTCCCCGGCCATTATAATTAGCATTTGGGGTGTGCCGAGCCATCGGCGCATTAGGCTCTATTCTTCCCCAACGGTCGTCGGGAGCGCAGCCTGCCACTGCAGTAGTGATCGCTCCAAGTTCAACACCACGCAATAAACGGTGCAAGTATATCCAAGAACCGCCTCAGCGACTCAGGACAACCGAGCTACCGTTAATACGATACCGTGTCTTAGGCTTCGGTGCTGGGGGTATCTCCTGGTCCTTTCCCTTTCCTAGTGCTCTATGCCGGGTGGGCCGGGGTCTACAAGTCATAGATGGTCACTCGTTGATATCATTTCTGCGGATTTACACCGCTGATCGAGTAATTTGGCTTCAGAGAAATCTCATAGGAGATATGCTATTATCATCATGATCATGTCCTAATATCGCTGTCCAAAAGCCGATAAAAAACAGCCTTGCGCGTGCTCATGCTATCGTATCAGCTTTTCATCCATGAGGTGAATCATGAATGCCGAGCTTGTGCGGTTGTACGTATCCCGAAACGGCCAAGACTAAACAAGGGGTACGGAGAAGGAAAGTGAGAGGGCGTGGAAAAATGGGGAAAAGAGGCTAGATGAAGTACAATCCGAAATGAAAAACTAACTACACGGCCAAACCTCTTTGGAATGACTTGACCAATAACACCCACCAATGGTGCTTTCAATGAGGCCGAGCATCCGACCTCACACTCTTCATTTCTCCATATTTGCCTCTCTCCTTGGTGGTGTCATATGCCTGGAGCAGCCGTGACTGCCCTTCGTCCGCCTGAGAAAAGGCATATCCCCTCTGCTTCCGCATTCGTTGTACCTGGCGTACCTTACGGATAGCCTTCTGAAATTGTTCCATCCTGCCAAATCGTCAGTACGCGGGCGCTGGAACTAGACTCTGGCTTTACCTTGGTCTGTAATCTTGAATGTTGTACTTTTGGATCTCCTGAATGTGGTGATAGGTCTGTGGGAAGTACATTCGTTTGGCGCTGCGCGATTGTTAGCTTATGCTGCGGAGGGATATCGGTTACCCATCAACTTACTATTTCCATGCAAAATCTCGGACCAAACATAGGCAGGGGAGAATGACAGCCATGGCCCAAAATACCGGAGAGGTAATAAGCCTGCCAAGGATACCGTGATATTCCTCGGAGAAACCGAGCATAGGAGCCACTGTGGCGTATGCGGGCATAAATCCCATCCAAATCAACATAGAGCCGGGAATAGCCATGACGGCATATTTGGTCCACATACTGGACTCGCGTTAGCAAATCTAGGGGATTTGGTAGGTAACAGGTATTGATACGCACTTGGTTACAAGCGCTGCCTTTCCTAGAACGGTGGCTAGAACGGCCGTGTAGAGCGCGGTTCCCCACAACCAATGACCGGCTGGCTTCCCGTCTGCCTGAGGATGGTCGAATAGGAAAATCAACTCCGAAACAATATACAGAATGAGCGAGTGGTAGAATCCGTTCACCAGCCACGCCCAGAAGCTAGTTTGTTTAAACTAACAACAACAGATCAGAACCAGCAGTTACAAAGAGGGTGTTTGAGGTAGACGCACGAATAAGCCCTTTTGGCCTAACTGATATAATTGCGGGTAACGATCAAGTAATCTTGCGCTTATGAATTGATCAAAGATGCCCATGACCAATGGAGGCAAGACAGTGAAGAAGACATTGTAGAACGAGAGCGTCCACGATTCATAGATTACTTGCCCAGAAAAGCCGTTTTGAAAGGAGAACTGCTCGGTATTAGAATTGCGAAAATAAAACAGGGCAAGGTATACAAACCCAAAACTGCGTCATGTAAAGTGTGATATTCTTGTAAAACGAATAAAGGATAACCTTACTGATACGCTGGTAGCTCCAAGCTCCATGAACAAGCAACAGCTTGCGGAGGAACCGGAATTGGCCAATAGCAACATCTGCGCTACGAGCGGCCTGCAGGCCTTCTACGCCGCTGATGCCAACGCCGACATGTGCCGCCTGAATCATACTAACATCATTTGCACCATCTCCGATAGCGAGCAGGATAGCTTTGAGGTGGCGTTTCACAAGCTTGACAACAAGAGCCTTTTGAAGGGGAGAGACCCGGCTAGAAGGGCTCAGCAAAATCTCATCGTGTAGGAGTACAGGAACACATACCAGCAGATGACAGCCTTGCATAGGACAGCAAGGTCAAGGAAAGTCTTTTCCAGATCCTTCTCAAGAGCAAAAGTAAGGGAGCGACCGTCAATGATTAGAGCTAGGGCCTAGACTAATAAGCACAAAGTTTGTCATATCTCTGGAAGGCACTTCACCTCTGGCTCAGCACCGGAGCTCTTTTGCGCTTTGATAGCTGTCAATTTCTTGCTCAAATCGTTTCTTGTGCTTTCCATATCCTCTTCGTTCACAATGACCAGGTTCATATCCTCACTAATGAGTTTGCAGCTCATTCCAATGTTAATAGCAGTTTCTTGTCTATCACCGGTCAAAACCCTGTGCGGTGTCAGTATCGGTCCAGAGGGGTATCCGCAGGACGTTTGGGCCCATACCAAACTTTGATGCCGGCCGTTTGTAATGTGTGAATTGTATCGGGGACGCCATCTTGGAGTCTGTCTTCGATGGCTGTCGCACCGAGCAGATATAGCTCCTTCTCAATGAGTTCTGCAGCTTTATCAAGCTCCTCGCTGCGATTATTTATTGTTGTGGCGGCCTTGTCGTATATAGCCGACCATTGGCGATATTCCTCATCAGGAATCTCTCGCATAGCTAAACAAAGGGTTCTTAGCCCTTCCGTAGCATAATCTTCTAAGTGCTGGAGCGTTGCCTCAACCATCGGATTGTCTTTTGATAGCCTCTCTATGATAACGGTATCAGCGCCTTTGCAGTAAATTCTAACTTTCCCATCGGGGCACCTGAGAATTGCAGACATCCTCTTCCTGGTCGAATTGAACTCGCAGATGTTAAGCAATTCATAGTCGTACTCCCGCCCTTCTACTAGCACAGTGACACTTTTTGGCTTTCGAGCAAGGAAGCGATAGCCAAGTTGAACAGCGCCTTCAACAAGAGCACCTTCATCCGGGGAGGCAGCTTGGTATTTTATCTCGTTGGGATTGTTGTCCTTGCGCTCTGGAATAACTGTGTGGCAAGTAGCAAGGAGAGTAAGGAAATGATGCATGACTTCACGCGAGGAGTGGGATCTGAGATTTTCCTTCAGTCTCGCGAAGTCATGTATTCCAACTTCCACACCATCTTGAACAGTTGCGCGGCGGTCTTCCGGAACCTCATCAGCATAGCATATACCAGCAATAGAGCACTGCCGAAACTCCATCATATTGCAAGTAAGGGTACCAGTTTTGTCAGAAAAGATGTACTCGATCTGCCCCAGCTCTTCAACAAGGCTCGAAGTTCTGCAGACCGCGGGAGTGTCCGTATCTGGATAGTAAATATCAAGGTCGGAATTGATGAGGAATGCATGCGAATATTTAACGATTTCAACAGTGACAAATAAACTGGAGTGGGTTAGTGTGACCCAGCAGGGGGGGGGGGGGTAACGCACCTGATAGGAACCAAGTTGGAATACAGGACCCAATAGGTCAGAATATCTGCGAAAAACTGACGCACTTTGTTGTTATCCCCAAGATACAAGTAAGACATGGTAGAACTCGCGGTTGCCTAAGGCTTTGTTCAGTTTCCCCGTTCATGATCCGTGGCCAACTGAGGGGTTTGACAAACCTGTTTGATAACATCGCCAATAGAAGAGACCAGAGAAAGGAGTAGCAGAATTCCGACAAGCATGATGATGTCTACATTGAGCTGTCTCTCCACCGCCGTACGTTTAATGGGCGTCGCAGTAGCGTTTCTCATAAGTTTAGTCTCGTGACCTGTGAATACAACAACGCCATGGACCCAGGGAGTATTTCTCAAGGTGGCCCCTCTAAGCAATAGTTGGTCTGGACTCAGTGGTAGCTCTTTCTCCCCTCCCCCGAGACCTATTGTCAAGGTAGCTTCGTACGTGTAGAGACTGCTGTTTGGTTGCTCGGAACGGATTCTCCCAGAGAGTCGGCTCAACTCACTCGGGCTGACTAAATTCGCAGTTTCGGGAATAGCTTGCTTGATCTTCAGATTTGTCTCCCCATCTAGATTGGCGGTTTCGATGTAGCATAATCCTTCCGGCTCGGATGAAGCCATCAGCACCAAATCTGCCGGAAATGGCTCTTCTGATTCCACTCTAACTATGTCTCCAACCCGGACATTTATCCATCTCTGTGTCTCGAATGATGTTCCCACCAGTACCCTGGCCTTCGACCTATTCAACTCCTGATCTTGGGTTTTCCGCTTCCAGTCCTCAACAAGTTCCTTTCCGGCCGACACCAGTAAAACGACAATCAAAGGACCAATGGTGGTGTATTTGTTAGTTGGCGAAATGTTCGGAATCTGCTGTAGCGCGGCTGTGAATAAGAAAAATAAATTGGCATACTTGGAGAACTGCTCGTAAAGAAACTTGGGGAGAAAGGTTGCGATGTTATATTTTGCTGTGGAAATGTGATTGTCGACATATTTTCCGGTAGCATTAGTTCGTGGGTTGTTGAGGTGAATTACTCGCGGCCCCAAGGTTGATGGGTCCACCTTTCTTCTCCCAAAACCGAATTTGAATTTGCCCCCACTGTTCCGTCGCCCTTTTGACCTCTGACCCCCGGACGCGCCCTCTGTGCCCCCGGCAGCCGTATTCTTTGGCCGCGCTTCCGTCAACGGTAAATCCATCTCGCTGTATTCCGGCCCCATTCCCAGCACTGATTTTACTCTCTCCACCACCCCCTGCTGTCGATTCCTAAGATTCCCGTGAGCGGCATCTTGTTGTTCATCACTTGCAGATGCGTAGTGATAACCACTGGCTGGACGGCCCTCGTCAGGGTATAGCTCTTGGTCGTCCGCATCGTAGTAGGGCTGATAGTTGCCCAAGACGGATGTTTGTGAATAAGTTCGGTGAGCGGTTGTCAGTCCCGGAGCCGGTGGTGGGGAGAGAGACGAGCTACCTCCTACAAAATCATCGTAAGAAGTGGAAGCTCTGTGGGCATATTCATCCTCCGAGATCGCTGGAGGACGGCCGGGATTTCCATAGTTGCGGCCCTGATCGTCAAGATCAAGGAGCAAGTCCTGATTGTTCGAGTTGCCCGCCATACGATTGGGCTACCCCGTGGGTTTCAGACGGGATTTTTGGCCTGTCGCACGGATGGCGGGAAGCCTGTCTTCGTCGATTAACAGTGGTCAGTAGGAGGGGAAAGTAGGTCGAAAGGAAAGGGTGAGGCGCTGTAAGGAAGCTCTCTCTTGGTCGTCTCTATTTAGTGGGTGGGTGGAAAACAGGAGGTGTGAAAGTCAAACTAAAGGCGAATCTCATCGCCGCTCGGCATGCGAATGAACAGAGAGGCAACGGGGCGAAGGTGAAAAATAGGAAATAGAGGGAAACGAAGGGACAGTGTGCTGATCAGAAAATCGCGCTGAAAAGGGGAAGAGGGTTTGTGTCTTTGTCTCCGGGCGGATGGTTGATAGTTTGGCAGATTACCATGGGATGCTAAGGTTAGGTACTGTAAATTTCGGTTCTGCGGATCTGATCACAGTGCACGAGTGGGCATGTTGAAACATTAGACCACGGAGCTATCTCTGGGGATAACTGTAGCGAAATAGTAATTTTTCATTTTTTCCCCCTTCTCTTTCATGAAGCTTAGCATTGAGACTCTACTGCGAGTAAAATTGAATGATGCTTTTTGTCCCCCCCGAATATCATAATTTTGTCAAATCCTGCGTTTCCCCTCTTACCCACCTTTTTTCCGCTTTCACTTGTTCCGTCAACTCTGCCATCCTTCACTCCCTTGCACACTGTAGAGCTTGGATTGTGGCTGGGGAAAAGCCTATGAGACCTATTTTTGGTGTTCTACCACAAATCGCGGGCCGACGCCTCAAACCGCGCTGACCTGGGGTGATGGCACCTGTGCAGCAGTTGCCCTCCCGAACCATGAAACGCTCTGCGGTATGTACGAGTACTGTATGGTGCCGGTAGAGCTCACAGTACCAGTGCTGAGGAAGGGGATCAAGTTGTATGGGCATTAGGTGGTTGAGGGACAGCTGAAAAAAAAAATAAGCTGCAGAATACAAATCACCGCCTGTTGCTGTTGGGGATTGCTGGGCAATAGGAAACTGTGGGATCCGGAGCTGCCAAAGTCCTAGTCCTGAACTAACTGATAAGTTAGTAGCACCACCCCAAAAAAAGCATTGCGGCACAATCTCATAGCAGCGCTCTTTGATACCTGTCTTCCCTTCTGCCTTTTATAATCCTCCATCGTCTCGTATGGCACGGGGGATAGGACAGGAGAGGAAGGAGAAGGGGGTAAGAATTTATTGAACCACTGCATCCCTTTTCTCAACAGGTCTATCGGAGGGGGGGGATTCGATCCTCTAAGGGTTCTTCGGGAGCTGAACGCTCTTGAAAGGGTGCACCGGATTCCTGGGTAGTTAGTCCTCGGCTCCTGCAGGACTAACGCCCTTTGTCGCTAACCATAGGCTGCAGGGGCTATCTTCGATAATGCTAACACTGTTATCATACACTATTCACTATTGGCAGAGTTAACGTGCTCGAGTATTGGAGGCTTTGTTTCTGAGGAGGATATTCTCGAAAGAAATGTGCTCTATGGGTGAACTCTCCAAAACTGATGGTGGATCGGTAGCAAAGTTTTAACTTGGGGTATTCTAAATTACATATTCCACTTGCCAGTCCCCAAAACGCCGTCCGAGGGTTACAGGTTGGACACGAATTTTGGTAGAATAAAGACTACCGCTGGATTATCATGGATCCAATTCGATTTCTCGACCGGATGGCCATTGGCCAATTTGGCCCATTGATCACTGACAGCCTCGGGTATGATATCATACAAGTACTCGTATAATACAGTACAAGCACGGAGGCGCCAAGCCTGCCGAATAGGATTTTCCACCTTGGCACTATGATACACTGCCGTACACGCATGGGTATAAAGGAGAGTTCCCGCCCACCCTTTTCTTCTCTCCTCTGGCAATCCCTTATCGTCCTGATCATATTATTTCCACCGATCCGGGCCATTTATTCTTTGCCCAGAACATGGGCGACTGTCCCTCGCAAAATTTCGCTAACAGTATCTAATTCGCTTCCACCTGGTACAAGTTTGGTATGTCATTTTCCCGCAGAAATCACTTTGCAAGCCCTCCAATTGCTAACCGAATCTCCCCAAACCGTGTAGATAGTAGTCTTGCGGACAAATCATTGGATAGTTAGGGATTTTTTACATGCATCACGCTTTCGCAAACCAAGTCTTTTCTCCTCTGTACCCTACTACAAAATAGGATACCTGTGACATTATTATGATACCTCTTGTTGCCGACCATTGCTCCTGTTTTCGCCACGTCTCTGCGCCCACGAGTATTTGATCTCATTTGATATCAACCTTCGAAATATGGGGCAGGATACCATTTTCCTCCGCGATCCCTGCCATAGCCATTTTGGTGGGGTCTTTGGGATTATGACGGGCCCAATAAACTTCTGGAGGAAGAGATCAATCGAAGGAGAGCGCGTTCCTGAGGGGGGGGGCAAATCGGCTAAGAGGGATGGTTAGCATCGCCTAGAGCCGAACTTTCTCTAAGCTGGCTATGGCTGGGCCCGTGGCTTCGCTCTCCTGGGGAGACATTTGACATAGAGTGGACTTCGCTTGCTTCCCAAGATGACCCACCCCATTTCTCCGCCTCCCGCTAAAACAATTGGTAGACACTCTGCGAAGGGCAAGTGAAAAGCGTTTAATTAGACCTGAAGGACTCCAATCATATCCGCTTGACGGGATGGGTGATTGTCTTTTGCTGCTTCCTTTTGGGCTTACAATGAGCCATATACAATCCCCGAGACCGGCACCATTCCGCAGCAGTCACATTCAAGGGATCTGCTGTAAGCGGGAGGGTGGTCTCCAATTGGGGGGATTCTGGGAACTTGGAATTCGGGATGGGGGTGGACCCGCCGCAGGTTTTGTCCTTGACGACTGGGAAACGGGATGGTATCGTAGAAGCACTACTTGGAGATGCGGTGCGGATACTATAGTTTTTTTTTGGGCTGTGCCACTGGCAGCGATCCATTATTTAGGTATGAATATTGTTCGGAAGGCTGAGGAGTTGAAGCAGGAGGTTTTGGTGGGGGAGGAATTTCCTGAAGACGGAGGAGTATCATAGGCTGGGACTTAAATTCGAATTGTTGAATGGCTGTCGGTGCGATATTGTGATTCGTTGTTTCACGTGATGAGGTCTTTGAACGCCAAAGCGCCACTTGCCCCGCAGGAACGGCAAACTTGGCGGGACTCCATGCTTCGGCATCGGGTCAAACACGAGTTATCCATCCTGTTCGTATCATACTCTCTCGATATTTCGGCCTGGGTAGCTTGCTTTGAACCTCTACTGCCAAATAGTGATACTCTCTAATTAGCCCGACAGCTCCCTTATAAAGCTCACACTGTCACAGGCTCTTTCCTTTTCCTCCTCATCGTGAACCGGGAACCGCATATAAAAATAGCTTTACTTAGTTCTCATCATGCAATCAGGCATCACTGGTCAGTCCCTCTTGAGCACAAACATTCCGTTCTAAATCCCTGCTAATGGTGTGGATATTTAATTTATAGCATCCCTAGAACTTCTGGATACTTTTCAAGCGGTTGTCTCAGATCATAGCGTGCGCGGCCTTATCGTTGGAATCGAAAACGAAGCTCTTGTGTCTAAGAAAACCCTCCCCTCTGCCGGCTCCTTTGATGAGGACCTCGGCCAATTGGACGGGCTTCTGCAGGATAACCAGCCAGCCTATATTATTCTACGAAGGCGGGATGGCGATTCACGTGTTGCGCCATTTATCTCCGTTGCTTATGTTCCCGACGTAGCAAATGTGAGGCAGAAGATGCTGTTTGCGTCGACTAGGAATACCCTTCTCAGGGAGCTCGGGTCGGATAGATTTGGGGAGTCTATATTTGCTACTACAAAGGACGAATTAACCGTGGAAGGGTTTAAAAGACATGACGCTCACCTAGCAAAGTACGGTGCCCCTCCTGATAGCCCATGTGGTAACCCTGGCTAAAGGTTTTGCAGGCCGGCACCACTTACGGAGGAGGAAAGAATCTTGAAGGAAGTTAAAGAGGCGGAGGCGGAAGCATCGACAGGGGCATCAACGAAGAAGGCCACTAGCAGGGGAGTGCTGACGCCTGTGACCGAGGAGGCTCTCGAGGCCCTGAGAAACCTAAAGTCTGGGGGATTTATCAATTTGGTGCAGCTGGTAAGCCCTTCCTCTTTTATATAGCATTGGAATATACTAATCTTTGGTCCTCGAAGGCCGTAAATATCGAAAAGGAGCAGATAGAGCTCGCCAGTGCGAGCACCGCTGCCATTGGCGATTTCACTAGGGTTATTCCCGACGATACCCCACGGTATTCTTTCTTTTTGTTCAATCGTACGTCTTCCTTCTCTCTCAATCAGCGGATATAGCTCTGACAACCTGGTAGATATGTTTGAAGGACAGCAAGAGTCTCCGATAGGTAGTCCCGAAACTTCTTCCTTTGCTGCACAGTGGTATCTAATGTGTTTGTAGTATTTATCTACACTTGCCCGCCTCAGAGTAAGATCAAGGAGAGAATGATCTACGCTGCTTCTCGTGGCAGTGTGGTGGCTTCGGCTGAGACGGATGCCGGTCTCACGATCGCTAAAAGGGTAAGTATCAGGAACTCTTCAGGGCACCTAGTCGCTTGTGGCCCGGAGATACCTTTGCTAATGGTTTAACAGTTGGAGGCTTCATCCGCCAGTGATGTTAGCGAATTGCAACTCCTCGAGGAGTTTCATCCCAAAAAGGAAGAGAAAGAAACTTTCTCAAGGCCAAAGAGGCCAGGACGCAGATAGCATTTCCCCTAAGGTCGGTGAGATTAGACGCGAACAGTGCTATGAAGGTGAATAAAGGCCAAGATACTCTAGTCTCGCAAACCTGCCCTAAGAAGAAAATGATTATGTCTCGAGCGGTGAGCTATATATATCATATGATGGGTAAAAGTGGTGGTGGCCGGATGGATGTGAGTGCGGTAGCGAATAAGCTTGTACCGTACTGTACTGTACAGTACAATACCTGCGCCTGTGCATTCGCGGTTGTCATTCCACCTATCATACAACCTTCAGGGAACATCCTCTACGAGTACTCGTGCGGGCGATTTGGAGCTGGACAGCTAAGGTGGCAATCCCCATGCAGGGTTTCCAACCTCAAACGCACCGCGCCAGCAATTGCGCTCGTACAGGTAACTTAGCGGCACTCGCACCATAATAATATCGACACTTGACACTGCCGGTATGATACAAAGTCCCATGCAAGTTATAATACCTAGAAATAGGATAGGATAGATCTAACCAACCCGTCCGATTGGGTTCTTTCCATCCTTCTGCCCCAAACACTCCCGTCCGGTAACAATCAAGTATCCTCAACAAGGCGGGCGGGATGGAGGGAAGACAGAAAGAGAGCCAAAAAGAACGAGTCATCTCCACCTCCTCGCTACACGTACTCGTACTGGTACAGTACGAGTACTTTGTGCAATGCCGGTGATCGTGACTCCGCGCCAAGGGTTGGCAACCCTTTCGTGCCGGTGGTATGATAGCTACCTGAGCAGTTTACCAGAGCCCCAAATGGCAGCAGGAGCGAATGGGCCAATTCTCCACCCGGAGACACAGATACCGTACCGTATTGTATTATATAGATCATAGATGTACCAGAGTTATGACCCAGTGCTGCACCGTATATGCCAGTACAAACGCAACCGAAGAAGCACCGTGAGCGGGCACGCCAATTTCGCAGCAAAAATAGCAAGCCAATTACCGGTATTCCACTGGAGAGAAAATTTCACAAAAAATACAAATTAACCACTAAAAATGGTAATAATGACATTTTCTACATGCAAGTATCCACATAATTACAAATTCCACAAGAGTAGTACTTGTACTGTGCCATGTGCCGTTGGACCTTTCCAATTCTGTCAAAGGCACAGTTTTTCCCACTAAAAGGAGCAGCCGTGGGGCAATTTTGAGTAATTTTTTGTTGCCTAGGGTTGCTACAACTCTGCAGATGGCTTGGATTTATTAGCTCACAATTGAAGTCAGTCTTTTCTGAACACCCTACGAAGTTGACCCATTTTTAATTCAAGTACTTGTACTATGCCCGGGGTATTATGGGGTTAGGGCTATTTCAACGCAATCCTATAATAGGAATGAAAGTTATAATGGTTTCCCGGCCTTTTCCACACACCTCACTCGAGGGCCACACCGAGAGATACCGTACTCGAGTAATCCCACCACGACAATTCCATGGCGATGAGGAGGGTAGTAGTAACGGGCATGGGGGCTGTAACTCCTCTTGCTGTTGGTAAGCGAGCGCCGCTGAGGCTAAAGTATTGCGAAGCTGGGCTGATGGGTACGTACTTGTTGTGCAGGTGCTTCCAGGTCCTGGCAACGACTGGTGGAGAGCCAGTGCGGCATCAGATCCATCAAAAAGCGGGTTGAATTCAGTGGCATACCCAGCCAGGTCGCTGCCACTGTGCCGCACGGCGCATCTTGTCAGGGGGGGTGGGATCCCAACGAATGGCTGGGACGAGGGGATGCACGAAGAATGGCGCTCTTCACTCAGTACGCAATTGCGGCGGCGGAAGAGGCGCTGGGCGACGCTCGGTGGTGTCCAACAAGCCAGGACGAGCGGGAGCGAACTGTACTTCACCTTTCGAAGTTTGGGACTAGCGGGGAGAGGCGGGAAGGTTAACGATGGGGCGTAGGGAGTCTGCTTGGGATCTGGAATCGGCAGTTTGGAGGATATGTACGATGCCTCAACAACTTTATCGGAAGGTGTGAGTTATGAGTTTCCGCTTGAGAAACGTCCTAGCTAAGAACATCTCAGGGCGTCAAAAAACTGAGCGCTCTCTTCGTTCCCCGGCTACTCATAAATCTTGCCGCTGGCCACATTACCATGAAGCACAAGTTTCAAGTTAGCGCTCATATCTTTCCCCCCCCTCCCAATTTCTCCCGATGCTGCTTACAGGCTAAACTATAACCCCTCAAGGGCCCCAACCACGCTGTATCCACCGCGTGCACGACGGGTGCACACTCGATCGGCGATGCCAGCCGCTTCATACAGTTTGGCGACGCAGACGTGATGATCGCCGGGGGCAGCGAAGCCTGTATTCACCCCCTCGGCCTGGCGGGTTTCTCCCGACTAAAAAGTCTGTCATCAGACTCTAACAGTCACCCGGAGCGATCCTCCCGCCCGTTTGACCGTGACCGCTCCGGGTTTGTTATGGGTGAGGGTGCTGGAGTTCTCGTGCTTGAAGAGCTGGAGCATGCCCGCGCCCGCGGGGCGACTCCCTACGCAGAACTTCGAGGATACGGATTGTCTTCGGATGCCCACCACATTACTGCCCCACCGGAGGGCGGTGATGGAGCATATCTTGCTATGAAAAGCGCGCTGCAACATGCTCAGATCAAGCCCAGAGATGTGGACTATATAAACGCCCATGCAACTTCGACCCTGCTTGGTGACGCGGCGGAGAATAGGGCCATCAAGCGGCTGATGCTCGGAGAGGATGGGCACGAAAAGGCTTCCGATGTGAATGTTTCTAGCTCGAAAGGCGCTATCGGACATCTGCTGGGTGCGGCTGGCGCCGTGGAGGCGATTTTTGCTGTCAAAGCTTTGAATGAGGCACCCCCTCCAACACCCTTCCTAATACAGAGCGAGGAGCACTGATGCGCTGCAGGATCTCCTACCGCCCACGTTGAACCTGGAAAACACCACCGAGGAGTTTGACTGTAATTACGTCCCCTTGAAGATGCAGAGAAGGAAGGTGGACGTGGTCATTTCGAACAGCTTTGGGTTTGGGGGCACGAATGCTAGCCTTTGCTTCTCCAAGGTTGCCTGATTAAACAATTAGTTGGAGGGGCGACGTGGGGTCGAACCAAAAGGCTCGAATTGAGTGGATAGGAAACCACTGGTCACCGGTTAGCATCATGAGGTGGACCTGCAACTTGCGAAATATATAGCCACTAGTGGAACTACGGTCGTATGGCACTATACGACTCGTAAGATCTCACGGGGAGGTATATATAGGTCCCTAATATCACAGTACCGTCCATCCAACATGAGAAAGGTTGTGATATCCAATGACTCGCCTTTTTTTTAAAAAAAAAAATAAACAAATAAATAAATAGGCATGAACGAGAATCTATGTGAAAACTAACAATCGTATTTACCCAATGGCGATGCCCTCACCAGACACTTCGACGCCCAAAGCACCCACCCCCCGCCTCCCGTACATTATCCCTCCCAACATAACATAACATAACAATCCCGGAGCAGGTATTGTTGTAAAACGGGAGAGAAATAGAAGTTCTTGATAAGCAAAGAGATAATATCATTCATCACACCTGTCGCCCATGCTCATACTCTTCATCCAGACACCAGGTAGTTAACTACCTTTATATACAAGTACTTCGGATCCCATAAAGCAGTCCTTCACCCCAATTCAACTCATTCGGCTCGGTCTACTATATCCATCTCATGACCTTCATTTCAGCAGATCCTTCTTCTTTCACTCTGTCCCCATCGTCTCGCAGCTCTTCCTTTCCTATCAGGAAGTCTTAGCACCGTGTCCTATGTCATACTGACAACACTCCCACCCTTCCTGATAACTATTGATCTAATACATAGAAATACTGGAGACCTCATTAAAAAACCTCCCAAGGACTTTGGTAGGAAAAAGAGTGTCCCGTACATGCAAGGAAAATATAAACATGGGAGATTCAATTTAAGCAAAATTATTCTTCAGAACTGTGTACTTTATCTGCGCCCATTCTCATTCCTGCATCTGTAGACCTAGATTTCGAGTATGGCGTTGGTGGGTTTCGCGCGGCAAGGGTTTTGTCATGATATCGGCAGTCATCATGTTCGTAGGTATGTAGTTGAGTCGAATGAGGCCTTGCTTGCAGCAGTCTCGGACGAAGTGGTATTTGACATCGATGTGTTTCGTTCTTTCATAAAACTTGGGATCTCCAGCAAGCTTAATAGCTCCTTGGTTATCACAATTGAGCACCTGCAATTCATGCTTTGTTGTGGTAATTTCGTGAAAGAGGCGACGAAGCCAGATAGCTTCACGAGAGGCTTCCGAGTACCCAATATACTCAGCTTCTGTTGAGGATAGCGAAACTAGAAACTGTTTCTTTGCTTTCCAGGAGATCGCTGCGTTAGCTAGTAAGAAGACATAGCCTGAGGTGGATTTCTGGTCAGTGGTATCTCCTCCGAAGTCTGAGTCGGTAAAGCCGATTACTTCTGGTTGACCAATGCTGTAGATCAAGGACAGATTGATCGTTTGTCGAAGGTACCGAAGGACACGTTTTGCAGCAAGGAAATGATTCCTGGTCGGCTTTGCATTAAACTTGCTGAGTGTGGCGACTGAGAATGCGATATCTGGTCGAGTTCCGACCACAAGATACATGAGACTCCCGATCAAGGATTGATAGTCTCTTTGATTGGTCAATTCATCAGTCTCTTGAGCGGGCAACAGCTTTTGTCCAGATTCCATAGGAGTTGAAACCCCATTACTGTCGGTCATCCCAAAGCGGTGAAGGATGGTTCTGATAAACATAGCTTGATGTAGTCGTATGTTCTTTGGTGACCATTCAACTTCAATGCCGAGAAATCTGCGAACATCTCCTAGGTCATTCATTCGGTATTGGGCATGTAGATGTTGTTTGATTTCCTGTATCCTATCAAGAGATTTTGCAGTTATCAAGATGTCATCAACATAAAGTAGCAAGATTAGCTTAGAATCATGTGCAATATAAAGATTTGGATCATTCTCAGAACGATGAAGTCCAATGGTTCGTAGGAATTAATCAATATGATCATACCAAAGACGAGGAGCCTGTTTCAGGCCATAAAGTGCTTTGTTAAGTTTGCAAGCTATAGTTGCAGGGGGTAAGGCTGCTTCCAGCCATTCAATTCCCTCCGGCAATTGCATGTATACTTCATTGTCAATTGGGGGATTGAGAAACGCAGTAGAGACATCCATATGATGCATCTCTAGTCCACCAACCGCTGCAAGGGCTACAAGTAAACGAAGACTTACTAACTTTGCAACTGGTGCAAACGTTTCACCAAAGTCCACTCCCGGGACTTGCTCGTAACCTTTAATTACTAGACGAGCCTTGAACCTCTGAGTTCCATCAGGGTTTGTCTTTAGAACAAAGACCCATCGGCAGCCTACTGGATTCACAGTTCTTGGAATCATAGACAGGTATTCCCATGTCTCGTTCTCCTTCAAGGAACGGAATTCAGCCCGCATGGCATCTTTCCAAAGTTCACAACGATGTTGATTTAGAGCTTCCCGGTAGCTAAGCGGGTCACTCCCATCATTGGATTCTGGTCTTAGTATAGCACTGTATACTTGAGTTTGACCACCGAGACATTGCGACCGTCTTAAAGGGATTATTTCACCTTCTTGCCTCACACTACTCGTACCAGTAGTAGGCGCATCACACTCTGCAGTAGGAGCTGTGGCTTTCTCAAAACTCAACACTTTATGGAGGAGCGACTCGTCAGTCCTCCTCTCAGTTGAGGGAATACCGTCAGATAGGTCATTCGCTTTACGAAACTCTGCAAATTCAGAGTCGTCTTCTTCTAGGGGCATATTCTCAGGTATACAGCTTTTGAGAACCTCGAGTTCAGATTGGCCAACCACTCGGTCGCCTGCCCTTCGTGACTCATCAAACCGAACGTTTGATGCTTGTATGATTCGCTTTCCCTCAAGATCCCATAGACGCCATATCTTTGACGTATCGTGCACATAGCCAATGAAAGCGCACATCTTGGATCGTTCCGCAAACTTTCCACGACGCTGGGCATCTGGAATCAGTTTAAATGCAATACATCCAAACTGACGTAGGTGCCCAAGCTCTGGCTTTGTCCCATGCAGCATTTCATAAGGGGTTGATCCATCAACCGACCATGACGGGGAACGGGAGTGAAGGTAAACGGCAGTGTTTACAGCTTCAGCCCAAAATTCTTCTCCAAGATTGGAATCTAAGAGCATGGCACGAGCTTTGGTTACGATAGTTCGTATCATCCTTTCACTAACCCCATTTTTGTCTTGCGTATAGGGAGGCGATGGCTCGAATAATATCCCTGACACTCTCAAAATTCCTCGGAAAAGGCTATTATCGTACTTGCCTTTTCCATTATCGCAGCGGAACCGAGCAATTGGATACTGTGGGAATTGTTTCTCTATGGTGGCCATAAACTCCTGGAATACTGAAACCACTTCAACAGCATTCTTTGAGCAAAGGAAATAAGTCCAGGTTGACCTCGAGTAATCATCGATATATAGTATAAAATACCGTAGGCCTGACATGGATTCAGGGCTTATGGGCCCACAGAGATCTGAATGGATGAGTTGGAAGGGACGTGTGGCTCTTGGTACCAGCTTTCGTTCTATCCTTTTCTGGTGTTTGGCTTTGACACAGATCTCACAAGTCTCCTCAGGTTTACCAGCCTCGATCTCTGTATATGCTGTATGAGGTATCAAGGACTTCAAGGATTGTCGATTGATGTGGGCTAATCGTCGATGCCAAAGATCAATGGATGGAAGAGCGGCGGCATTTGCAATAACCGGCTTCTGATTTAGGCGGTAAAGCCCATTGTCCAGCGTTCCCAGCAGAGAGTCTCCAATAAAGCAGGATGATTCTCTAAACGAGATCGGAAATTGCTGTGATAACTGACTAACAGATAACAAGGAGATCTGAAGACTTGGTGCGTATAGGGCTTCGATAGTGATCGTCTGAGATGGTAATGCCAGATGCACCACACCAGTTCCAGTAGCTGGAATTGTAGAGTTATCCCCTAAATGGACTGTCACTGGTCTTTCGAGGCGCTTCAATTCAACAAACAGGCGGTAGTCTCGACACAAGTGGTGTGTTGCTCCAGAATCGATAACCCAGTCCTGGAGTAACGATAGTCGATCGAGATTGACGATTAGTGCACGAATGGAGGTAAAGGAGGCAACGGTCTTCTCATTTCCTTTCACTTCTGGCCCAGTTCTCCTTTTATCCAAGCGCTCATTCCTAGCACTATCAGATCTCTTTTTAAGATGGCAATCGTCCTGCTTGTGGCCCTTCCTCAAACAGTACCAGCAGGTCAAGTGAGTACTTCTTCCACTCGTATGTCTTCTCCCTGTTCTTCCGCGGAAGTGGACTCGATTACTAGACGCCGTTACATGGGCAGATAAGGCGTTTGTTGTATTCATAGTACTACCGACGTTCGTACTGGAACCAACCTCGGCCTTCCGCGCTTGCCGTGTATTTTCCCATTCAACTAAGGTGGAGATAACGTAGTCGGTAGTCTGCCGTTCAGGAGCCTGATGGATAATGATATCAACAATTGAATTATATTCGGGTGTAAGAGTCGTAGTCAGGTGGGATCGAAAGGTTTCATCAGAAATGGCCTGCTCTGAGCTAGCTAACATATTCTTGCACTTCGTTAGTTCAGCTATATAGTCTTCCAAGCTAGTTCTCGGTTTCAGTCGAAGCTGGTTGAATCGGTGGCGTATTGCAGTCCTTCCGGCCAGAGAGTTTGCGGTGTCTAGTTTTGCCTTCAGCTCATTCCACATGAGTAAAGGGTCTCTCATTGTATCCACATAAGCTTTGACAGTCAAGCTACAGGAGGCGCGGATCATGGCAGCAGCCTTTCTGGAACGTCTGCTGAAGTCTTCGGGATTGATAGAGCCGCTATCATCTAGAACCTCATTTCCAAGGACGATATCCAGGGCTCCTTCGGCGTTTAGAAAGAATTCCATATCGCGTCGCCATTGGTGATAGTTTTGATGGGTGAGTTCTGCCGTTCTACCGTACTTGCATTTGTATACCCCACTCCCTTGGGCTACACTCATGGCAGTAGTGATGATCGAAGTTGACTCGGGTCTTCGATTCGAAGGGAACGTGAAAGGTCGATGACAATTGATTCGGGGTAGGTGTACTCAGAGGTAGATAGACTGTTGGATAATTGTTCCGTAGGTTGAGAATAGAAGCACTATTCCGGGCTCATAACCTGTTGTAAAACGGGAGAGAAATAGAAGTTCTTGATAAGCAAAGAGATAATATCATTCATCACACCCGTCGCCCATGCTCATACTCTTCATCCAGACACCAGGTAGTTAACTACCTTTATATACAAGTACTTCGGATCCCATAAAGCAGTCCTTCACCCCAATTCAACTCATTCGGCTTGGTCTACTATATCCATCTCATGACCTTCATTTCGGCAGATCCTTCTTCTTTCACTCTGTCCCCATCGTCTCGCAGCTCTTCCTTTCCTATCAGGAAGTCTTAGCACCGTGTCCTATGTCATACTGACAACAGGTATCAGGTAGCAAATACCGAGTGAGATTTTGTGAATGTGACAAGGGCATGATAATAATATTATGATTATAATTATACAATGATAAAACTTTTGATACCTATATCCGACTCTAAGATTCCCGGGTAGGTAGGGATAGGTAACCGGCGAGCTCACACTATGTAGGAACTATCCGGTCCATATGGAGCTCATACGATACAATCCGGGCAAGCCTTTCCTTTTTCTTTTCTCCTTCTTCTTCCTCTTCCTGAATGATCCTCAACGCGGTATGATATGATATATAGGCAACATGCTTGTGCCACCATCCCTCCCCAATCTATGGGCCGCTCTCGGGTGTGTTTGTTTGTTCCGTTACACGTTGGATATCGGTATGGTATTCGTGGATAGACCAAAAAGCCCGGCGCCAAGAAATCCCCTCCCCTCCCGGACCCTCTCTGGTGGTTGTGCGGCACTCGGCGCCCCGCAACACAGAGGGACCGGCCGGGGAAATTCGGCCCTGGTATGATAGTACTTGTAGGGTGACTACTGGGATCCCAAGGGTGCCCGGGGACCATGGCAGAAGGGGGAAACTCGTGGGGCTTGGGCTGGACTTCACGGGGGCGGTATTGGGGTTACCCCGGGGAAGGAATGGTGATTGATGATTTTCAGAAATTTGCCAACCGAGCGAGAGTGAGTGGGGGTTGTGGATTTGAAGACTAAGAACACATCTGCTGGCGAGTGAAACATATAGAAACGTGCTCGTGGGTACAACGCAACTAATTATTTAAAGTGACTAACACAAAAAGGGCGCCAATCTATCGGAGTAAAGCGCTAATCTACTCTCATACAGGCCCTTGCCTTCCCAGCACCCACAAACCTTCAAGGGTGCCATTGACCCTGAGGCTGTTGATGAAACCCTTCCAGAAACTGGAGTCCAGTGACGGAAGGCGTTTGGGGATGTCTATACGATGATCTGCAGGTGGGAATCTGTCGAGCCTATGAAGGTAGTCGAGAAGGTATTTTATGGACATGGATTCCGGATCATCGTTTTTGGCCTTCAGATGGTGGCTAAGGTATGCTTGATAGCGACCAACAAGGCGGATCAGGACTTGGGCAGTATTGTAACTGTCATATCCGGCTTCATGGGCGAGCCTTGAGGTGACGTAGCGGGTGTACCCAATGTCGAGCTCTAGATGGCGTTAGAATATCACCAGGGGGATCGACAATTGTTGGAGATACCGATTGTGGGATAATCTTGGGTGCAGAGAAGGTCCCAGATCCCTTGTAAATTAGAGCCGAAAGATGCAGTCTCTGCATCGCAGGTTGCTATAAACTTGGTATCGATTACGCTACGTGCCAAGGTTAGTCCGCGCGCGCGCAAGTTCCGCGGATGCCCGATCGTTGGATCAGCTGCGGAGTGCTGGAACTTACATGGGAAAGTTCTCATGTATAGCATGAGCAAACTCCGTTGAAGTGCTGGGTAAGGGTCCGATAAAGCATTCGTAAAGGTTGATTAGATCGGTGAACAGATTATGCCCAACAAGGGGCTTCTGTGAAGCGAAGAGAGCGTCGATAACGTGCCGCAACCCAATTCCTCTCTCAAGATCGGTTTCAAAACGTGCTCTGCGTTCATCGCGCTTCATCTTTTCGGCGGCTGGGTCAGTCCGTATCACCTGGACAAAAGTTGGCCTACCCAAGGTCTGAAGATGCGGGAATGTCTTTCTGACAACCTGATGTATAAGTCGTTTTTGGTAACTATTGACTCCTTGGCCCACGGTCGAGATGTTGACGAAATCGAAGGTTGGCTGAATCCATGTCAGTTAGCAAATGTTTGCAAGGGGGGCTGATTGTGGAGGGGCGTACATTCGGATCATCCACCCATTCTTGAATCTCGGCAATAAAGTCTTTGACCTGTAGCAGAAGCAAGAGGTGGCGCGGGTCAGAGAGAGAGAGAAACAAACAAGCCAGAAGGATTGGACCACACAAATTGTTGGGACGCATCATCGATGTGAATGTCTTCCTTAGGCTCTTGAGCTATGCGATTTTCCCTTTCAATCACGTACCGCTCCTCCCTACGACTCAAATAGCGGATTCCCGAGGTGTATGTGGAATTGAAATTAAAGCCACTCTCCAGAAGAAAGCCGATAGCACTTGCCTGCACAACGTATTCACGATCCAGCCCAAACTTTTGCTCAGAATTAGGGCTCACGAAAAAGTTGAATGGCCGGCAAACGTAGGATTCTGGTCGAGCGTTAGCTTGGTAAGAACGGGGCCCGGGGATGGCCAGGATAGAAAACCGACCAAGCACCTCATCATAAGACACTGGACACAGCCCGAGCTGGAGTACTTGAAACCGTTCTGCCGCTGTCTTGACTTCCCGGTACCGTTCTTCCAGATTCTGCTTTCTGTTCAGCGGGGCATTGCGCGGCCCAGAGGTTTTGTGTATTCCACTCAATTCAAGGTCGATGGCCACTAGGAAGGCAAGGTAAGCAATTGATGGAACGCGTGGTGTGGTAACCGGCCCGGGAGCAGATGGAGGACGAACCAAAGCAAGAGTTATCGATGCTGCTAATTATGTCAGGCAAAAGCTGGCGGAAGTTTGAATTATGAACTTCCATTTGGCTTTCTGGGGGTGGGGTAAGCAAAAGCGGACACAGGGGGTATTGTCATAGCAGGGGGGGCAAGAAAGAGGCAACGGGGGTGAACTATCGTACTAGGGATACTAATGATGTTGGTGGCGGTGAGGTGTAGTGAGTCCAAGGATTAGGGGGTGGGGGGTGAGGGGGGAAGGGTTTAGGAGGATAAGGGGGGATTAGGGTTGGAGATCAAGTGGGGAGCATGGGAAGAGACGGCGCAGGCATTGGCACAGGAGAGGTTGAGGTTGAAGGAGGGGGAGGGGGAGGAGGAGGAGGAGGAGGAGGAGGAGGGAGAGTTTGCTTTGTTGTAGGATCCATTGCCGGAATGTGGGGTAGGTTACCATAACGCGGGGTCAAACATCTCGAATTCCTTCTGGTGGACGCGATTGAGGCTGAGATGCACTCGAGCACTGCAACCGTAATCTACTGGAGCGGCTGAAAAATGTAGACCGGTTGCAACTGAGGCACGGTATCGTACCAGTATGATACAAGCGTTCGAGTATGATACGGGTACGGTACCGTAGTTGAGGAACCGGTATTCGCACCAGTGAGACTGTTTCCTTTCTTCCCTCTGATCCTCCAAGGCCATTCGATGGATTACAGTAACTCGAGGGGTCCGAGGTTAACGCGTCGAGAGGGTAACCTTTAATACCTTGCGTGACACGGGCAACGAGTGCTCAACAGTGAATCAATCCCTCACCGGGCATCCTCGGGATGGATATGTTGTGATGGAAAGCTCATGGCTCAGTGAACAAATGGCGTTGTTTAAATGCCAGGACGCTATTGTACAGTACCTGATCTCCCCCAGGAGCGGTCGGATAGTGTCGTCCGGATTTGATTTGGCGGCTGCACACACGGTTGGCTTGCCTCCCTTTCGCTGGTGGGAGGGCGGTCCTTGTTCTCGTAGTTACACTGCCCTGCCTTGCCCACCGGTACAGTACCGTATTATTGAAAGAGCGTCATATCATAATTATCATACTATAATAAATGATTAAAAAATTAAAATCACATCATACTAGTGCAGCACCGGTACCCGCACAGCTGCGGTAGAATGCCGGTAAGGAAGGGAAAAGGAAAAAGGAAAGGGTCCGAATGCTGCTGAAAGCGCCTCTCTTGTTTCTTGAATCTGCCACCATTTCCACTCGTGCTGTGTTGTACTCCAGCCATAGAATAACTCTACCCATATCATATCAAACTCTACCACTATTATCTAACCGATACATCCACTCGCAATACCGGTCCTGGTATTGGATTCTCTAAACGCTCTGCCGCTACCGGTAAACTGCCGTACGGTGCTTCATCTTCACCCTCTCCGGCCTGGAGCTCTATCATACTCAGCTCCTCCCTCTTTTACGCGAGTAATTTAGTAGTGTACGCTCTTTCGCCTGCTCACACATTCTTATCTCTCCATCCATCCAACTAAACTTTTCCGCTTTCCACGGGTTATTCTCCTTTTTGCTCTTCCACAAACATTACTCGATCCTCACATTTGCCCACCCCCCCTTCGGCTCTTGTGCTTGCAGGCGCACCGTTACCGCCCCATCTATTTCCCTCGGCTCTCGTCTCTCCCCCGGCTCGCTTCAAAACCAGCGTGGAGGCGGAATCAATCACCCTTGGACTCCCTGCTCGTCCACAGCATTCTATCATCATCAACCAGAGGTAGATAGCTGCAATGCTCCGAGTTATCCCCTACCCACCACCTCCCCGCTCGATGGTAAACGGCGACAGCAGAATGAGCGGTCACAATCTTCATCAACAGCCGCGTATGGTCCCTAATACTCCGGCATCTGCCCCCGAGCCGGTGGTCGCCCCCGCAACCGTGTCGCGTGTCTACCGGGCCGCTACAAATCTCTTCCTGACACGACGACTGCCGGATGCCTTGATGGCTTTGCAGCCTATCATTGCCGACTCCGTTTCTCCGAGGGTTGGATGCTCTCGTACGCTTAGAATCAAAATATGGAGTTTGTATTTTGCTATTCTGGACGCCACGGCTAAAATGGGCCCGGAGGAGGGGAAGAGAGTTTGGGGTGCCCAGGAATGGAGGAGGATTGTTTCCAGAGTCAGGAGCGGCGCCATATGGAATGAGGCGATCCGAACTTATGGCGAAGAGGGCAGAATCGACGGGGATGTTGTGAACACACTGTATGCTTGCCCCACAAAATTGTATTGTCAATGTTTTGTTTGCATGGTTGGTCGTGCTGATGATGCTACCTTTAAGCGTGATGTTGCTGCTAGCGCATTCACAGGATCAAACCGTCACTCAGAAAAAGATTGAGGCATATTTATCGGCCGCGCCTAGCTTGTTTGGGTCCGATGATGACCCCAAAGCAGTATCGCAACGGGTCAAACTCATGGAACTTTACATCCTGCATGTTCTTCCCCGAGTGGGGGACTGGGAATACGCTAGAGAGTTCACCCAGATGAGTCCTGATCTGGATGAAGAGCAGAAGGAGGTACGATCAGTCATTATACCCGACTCCCCTACATGCCACCCGTGCTGATTTATCCTAGGCTTTCCAAGCGACCCTCGATGCGCTTCAGAAGGACAAGGAAGAGGCCGAGCGTTACAGCCAGGAATTGGAGGCACGGAAGGAGGCCGAGTGGGAAAAAGAACGGCAGGCCGAGCAAGAGCGCCAGAAACGGGAGCTTTCCCCACCAACAAGCGCCCGCCCGACGCCCCGAAGACAGAGTGTTCAAGGCCGAACGAAGAGGAGCAAAGCCGGGAGTGTGCGGGGCGATAGCCCCACGGAAGAAAAGATGATGAAGAAGCAGGCGAGGACAAGAAGCGAGGATACCAGGGGAGCCATAAGCGCACGGTCCGGCTCCAAGAACAAGAACACCACATCACTATTCTCCACCACCACCGCGCTCCTCAACAGGTTGCAGTCACAAATGTACACGGCCCATGGCAGGTTCACGCTCCTGCGAACGGTCATCATGTTGGCCATGGTGGTCTGGATGACCAGCAAGCGTCGGGTCAGGGAGAAGGTTAGGAGGTTGTTAATGCTGGCTTGGATCAAGACTACCCGTACCGTGGGAATGGGAATGAAGGTCACCTACATTTGAGTTGTTTAGGCGGGACTCGCTGTATTGGTAATTGTGAATGGGGTGTTTGGAGTTTTTTTCCTTCAACGGGTTTACTTCTAGTTCTCTTTTTTTTATTTTTATTTTTATTTTTTACCCTCCCATTTTCTCCATCTTGTCACTTGCATGTTTTCCATGGTGTCGTATCTATGCCTTTTCCTTCTTCCTGCGCTCTTACATTCTACTGGGGTTTAAAAGGGGAGAAAAATAAATAAATAGGGATCTCGGTGATAGTCTAGCGTGTTTTCTTCCTCTTTCTTCTGTTTACTGTAGTGTACTAGTACTTATATAATACGACCTAGCTTGTCGGTGCCCATGAGTAAATGAGTATCATATAATGCTGGAAAGAAACATTATCCGTTTCCTCTGTCTACAAGCCAATCGAGATGTTACAGCTCCGATTTGCGAATATCTTGACGGCACGAAAGCCAAGGACCACTTTTCCCGTCCCGGCGCACTTCGATACACCCCTATTTGACCCCCAGGTCTGTCCGTGTACAGTACGGCACCGGTACAGTACCTCATCCAGTGATATTCATCCTCCCAAGATGATGTCCACCACTCACTCTCGACGTCCTATGAGTATCGGAGCGTCTCACTCAGACTTTCGCTTCTACAGCTGCTTGGAGCGAGTGGGAACAGAACAGAGCAGATTTTTTTCTTCCGACCTTGGGGAAGGTTGATGAATTCTCATCCATGATAACGACCAGGAAAAAATTACTTGTAATATGGCCTTCTATTGACTCTTGAGGGGTGTTTGGGATAAAAATTTGTTTTATCATACTTACCGGTACGGTACGGTAGTCAGCAGCAAGGAGAGGCCGGTCGCTCACAGCGGAGCAGCGGATTCTAGCGATGACTTACGCCTGGTTTTGTCCGTTCTGTATCGTATCATATCACACGAGATTTCTGATTTTACGGTATCGTAGTCCTGGTCCTGATTAGGTAAGGTGCACCACTTTGCTGTCTTATGATACGGTATACTCGTACCGTACTGCACTCTGCTGGACAACCGTTTAAGTTAACTTATCATGGATGATACCGTATGTTATCCGGATGTTTGGTATCGGGAAAGCTGCTATGGGTATGTAGTATGCGACATCTTCAACCGCCCATGATGGTAAGATCCTGTCCATCACCTTCACCGCGGATTAGTCTTATGAGCATTGTGTCATGGGGGATACCGAGTACCGGTACTCTAGATTCCACCGCCGGTATCAGCTTTTTATTCTGTTTGGCGTCTTTGTTTACAGCTTTGATGGGATATATCATACTCATAATACCTGTATATGATACTTTCCAGCTCATCACGGGGGCATCGGCCCCCGTCCCAGCCTTCTCTGCATAATATTCGGAGGTTATCAGGTGATCAGGTACCTGGTGATGACGAAGCATGGCTGACAGTCGTAATTTAGCTGGACAACTTGCTGTAAACACACGTAATTTTGGTGCATCCGATCCGGGCCAATGCACTTTCCCGACACACACCCCTTTGGCAGGCACATTTTCCATGCTGTACGAGTATGATAGCTTCCAGTTCGCACTCTCCACTTCCTCATAAACCTTGGAACAATTGAGCGTGTATATGATACTTACGGGGGCATCATACATACCATTATAACCCATAGCACTCGGCCCTTGCCCTGGATTGCTCAGGATCCTATTTTCTCTTTTCCCTGGCCGCCTCCACGTGACACCATCACAACCGCTGTCGACTTGACAGCTGTATCGTACCTTCTCCGTAGACTCCACAATGTCCGAACCCAAGATCCGTCCCGATGATCCCGTTCTCAAACTTTTCAGTCAAAAAGAATCCGCTCATACCGTCAAACTCAAGTCCTCTTCCCGCCCGGCTCCCAAGAAGACGGTTAATTGGAAGGAGCGCGCAAACGAGCTCGAATCTCTCGGTGACTCCTGCCTCCTATCTCCCGCCTGCTTTCTTTTATTGACGAGGTGTAGATGAGAAACTAGTTCGACCGCCAGGTGCTGGAAACTCCCCAGGGACGCTCGTCACACAGTTGGATGATAAGGATATATCGGCCTTCCCTACCGGACGGCCTCTCCACGATGAGCCTGATTATATCCTTTGCAAGTGTTGCAAGAAGCCAGTCATTAAACCTGCCGCCATGGCGCATATCAAAGCCTGCCAGAAGGAAAAGTCGGACAAAGCGAAGGAGAGAAAGAAGCTGAGGGATGAGAAGGCTGCCGCCGCCGCAGGGAAGGATAAAGGACCCACCGCGGATACGAACGGGGATGTTAACGGCGACGTGGATGAAAAGAAAAAGGGTGCGAAGAAGATGACGAAGAAGGATACCGATGGCGCAAAGTCCAAAAAACGAAAGGCAGATGGTAAACCATGCACTCAATGATCTCACAGCTCCTGTTATACTGATTCTACTAGAACCGAAACCCCCCAAGGAGCCCAAGGCCAAGAAGAAGAAGGAGAAGCCTGCAAAACCCGACCCAAAACCAAAAGGTAACCTCCTGGTTTACCTTATGAAATGTATGGCTAACCTTCCTAGCCCCCGTTGACGTGGAGAAGCAATGTGGAGTCCCACTTCCCAACGGTGCCCTCTGTGCCCGCTCACTGACCTGCAAATCCCACTCTATGGGAGCCAAACGTGGGGTCCTTGGCCGTTCCCAGCCGTACGACATCCTCCTGGCAGCCTACCAAAAGAAGAACCATGCGAAGCAACAAAGTATCTCCCCAACCACTTCGTGCACCTTATTTCCAGGCTAACAATCTAGTAGAAGCAGCGATAAATGCGGGAGCTCCACCTCCTGACGAAATCGAAGCCAACAACATACTTATCGACTCGGATGAAGAGACAGAGTTGGTCATGGCGGCGGTGACTCGCTCGATGCCACAGCCGCTGGAACGACATATTCTTGTCCCTGTGCGGAAGAAGTACCAGTACGTCCGCATGAAGGAGATGCTAGCTAGCGCTCTCAAGCCCCTCAGCCGGCCGATGTTTGATGGGTCCAACACTGGGCCGTTGTTCGATACCTCGGTACCGAATCCTGCTGCTCGAGCGATGTCGGGGAGCCAGCAAGGGAGACAGTACCCGCTTGTCCCACAGTCTAGGAAGGGCTCGCTACAGATGCAAGGATGAGATTGGCATGAATGGAATGTGGTTCACGGGATTTCACTTTTTTCTTATCTCTTATACTTTGTAATCGGGTTGGGGGGACATCTGTAGGCGTTAGTTGGTGAATTGCTTTTTTACTCTACTACTGCCACTGCTACTACCACTGCTGCTACTATTACATGCTGTTACATTCACGTCTTTCTCTTAAACAAAAAAGTTCAACGGTGCTTGCCGTTTCATTGCGTGATTGTGTGATGTACGGGGAGAGCCTTAACTAAGACTACCTTTCTAGTACTGGAAATAAAGTACCAGGATTAATCGAGTTGATCACGAAGACCTCCACTCAGGCGACCCCTCCCTCCACCCTACTCCCGCATCCATGCCAAACTTGACCATTTATTACCCCTCCTCAACCTCTCCCCTTTGCAACAGCCCACTTTCCCTCCTCAGCTCCTTAATCACGGCCTTTCCGCCCTCGCCCTCCTGGTCAGCGATCATTCATATACCTAGACCCGTGGGTGCCGGGAGATCTGTGTCACACAGCAGAGAAATCTCACCGCCAATGCCTCAGGATGAACCCCATTCTCTACGAGACTGACGCAAAGACTCAGCGTAGTCCTGTCCAAATTCGTGTTCTTATCATTGACGGTAGGGTACGATTTAGGTATCAGCTGGAGGAAGAAGAGAAAAAAAAAGTGGGAAGGAGAGGATATTACAAGAAGGGTGGATATCTCGTGGAGGATGTCGATTACTTCTCTCGCTGCTTGCTGCTTTGATGGGCGGGTGGACATTGTGTTTTTTTAAATTTTAAATTTTTAAAAAAAGTATGAAGTGAGGATTGTGAGATGGTGGAGTGTATGTACGGTGCATACGGTAAGGTTTGACGCGATCTTGGTTGAGGTGGTGATTTGGGTGGACTACGGGACGATAAGTGATCGGTGGTGTGGTAAATATCATAAGTTAAGGGTGGGTCACCTACATAATACAGGGTATTTCTGAAACGTGATCAACAACGGTCTGGTATCATATACGGCGTCTATGATACCGTAAAAACTTGAATAATTGGACGGTGTGCTGAGCGGTTAAATTAGGGTATGTCTTGCCAAGAGATCATCATGTACATCAGTCAATATGGGTTTTACTTATTCTTGGCAGCTATTCATAGTGGAAATCAATTTCCTCCTCGAAGTCCTCAACATCTTCCTCATCCTGAGGATTAATCTCTTCCTCCACAAACCCCCTACCCCCATCCATTCCTTCCATACCTCCAACTCCCCAAACATCCCATTCCCTTAGTCCATTAACAAGGTAATCATTCGCTAACCCTCGAATAGATACTTTGTGGTCTTCGCTCCCATCGATTGGGAGTGAGAGGCCGACCGTTTGAAAAGCACGCCGAACTACCTCCACCTTTTTGGCGGAAAACTGCTCCCAAGCCTCACCGACAGCCCAGGTGATAGCAACTCGCCGGCGACCTATCATGCTTCCGGTAAGTCTTCCTCCTCCTTCCAAGATTCTTTCCTCCTCCTCTTCGATTTCTCCTAGGCCCTGCTCCATCAAATCCTATAATAAAAATAATTCAAGTTTTAGATAAGTTCCCTCGCTTCCTAAAAGTTAGAATTTGAATTTAGTATCACTAACCTTTAGTAGATCTTTGAATGGGCGATTGATGGATATATCAAGGGGCTGGACTAGACCTGTACAGCCCCCAGGGATTACGCTTGGCGTAATGTTATGAGCGCGAAAGGTATCTAGTACCTCTTCGGTTTTGTGGCCGGAGAAGAGGTCAATGGCAAGCAGGCTTGGCTGACCATTCAGAACAGGAACAAGCTGTTCATCTAGCCACTCGAGCATGTTGCTTGAGTTGGCATAGGCAGTCGGATTGAACTTAACTACAACTCTGTTGTCGTATAGTTGCTGTTCGTTGATGATCGTGGGCCCAGTACCCTTTCCACGAAAAAAGATCAATGGCTTTACACGGGCAATTCCATCAGCAAATACAGTAAGTTGTATAGTACCCTGCCTTTTATCCTACCCCGATTTGCTTGATTGAAGCCAGATTGTTTTTTCTCCTATCTGATTGTAAGTACACCCTTCTAGATATTCGAAAGGAATTGGGGTCTGATCCATATTATAGATATTCTGTAACATGTATCGGCCGACCCGGTATCCTCCCTCTTCGGAACCTCCTTCCTCCCTAGGACGATACTGGGAATTACGACGGTTAAACCGCAGCCAGCTAAGTATCGATTCTCCAAAATCCTTTGGAAGTTGGCTTGCTTTATTGGTAACAGAGCGGAGGCTAATCTGATGCCATCCTAGGTATCCTCGAAACCAACCGTTGGAGAACTTAAACTCCTCTGGGTCCCGGGTCGGATAGTTCTTTTGGAAGAGTTCTCTGCTAACCTTTCGGAACCAGCTTCGCCTAACTGGCCGTCCCAGCACTCTTCGCTCCCGAAATTTCTCAAAGAGCTCCTTCTCCATCTCTATCCACCGGTGTCCCCGTCCTCCTCCTCCTGCTCTTCTTTGTCCTGCCTTCATGGTACCAAATTTTCCTTCCTTCTCCTCCTTCCTCCATCTCGATAGGTTGGCAGCGGGGACATTGAAATGGTGAGCCACCTCCTCTCGTGTCAGCTCGCGAACTTTTGTTGGACCGCAAGCTATTTTCGTCCGCATCCAGTAAGAGAGAATTCGAAGTTTGTAGCTAACTATATATGACCGATAGGGGTTTTCGACGTTTTTCCCTGGCTTTTGGAGAATTTTGGCTAATGGTTCTCGCTTAGATCCTCGCTTTTTCTTAATTCCGGCGTAGAATTTATCTGCTGGAAGTGGAGGAAGATTTGGCTGTATCCAGGTCTGGCCACAAGGTCGTGATGGCATTTTCACAATATTTTCAATTTATTTTTGTACTATTAGTTATATCTTTTTTTTTCTTCTCTCCTCCTTTATTTACATATTTTTTGTACCTACATGATCAACTGAGGTTGCAATATCCTTTCAGAGACATCTGAGGTTTCTGATTTCTCGTATTTTTTTAGTGTGAAATGATCTCCGAGACACCAATTTCCGTCCCTCCGTGTCTTGCACCTTATTTTGACTTCATAGCACACGGTCCAATTATTCAAGTTTTTACGGTACTCGGGTGTGTCTGTAAAAATGGGAAACTAAGAGTGACAAAACAGGGATAAAATGGATCGGGAGATAAGGTTGTCTGGAAAGTGGAATTATATAACATGACACCTTAAACAAGGTATGTTGCACTACATTTGCGGGATATTATAGGGGTAATGAGGGAAGGTGTGTCTGGTATCTCAACTCCAGTGTCCTGACCATAGGGCCTAGCAAATGAGGAGGGTATAAGTGAGTATTTTTCTTTTCATATGAAAGTTCTATGAAAGTTCTCATATTACTGTGCTCTTATCTTGCGGTATGCTAAAAATGTAAAATTCCAATATACAAGTACCACCGAAAAAGTGAGTGGGCACGAGGGATTTTACACCAAAAATGGCCAATTTCATGCACTTATTCCAGTACCAGCACCACAATTAAAAATAAGATATCTTCATAGCATATTCAGAAAAGCTATAGACTGCTTGACTTCTATTGAATTCTTAACTGAATTTAAATTATCTGAGAAGCAGTAGTGGAGGGAAATAAAAAATTCCTCAAAACTGTACCAAGACCATCTTTTTTGAT